AAAATACCGCTAACTACTAACCTTTTGCTTACCAGAGCGAGAAGCAACCATATGGTCATGAACTTGATGAAAACAAGAGACCGTGTGGCGATCAGTGCTACCTTCGAGTATGTGCCCCCTCAAGTTTTGCAGTTATATCAATTAATAAAGTTGTTTATGATTCCTGAATTTGCATAATTTGCCAGTCCCCCCCTGTGGGAATCTAAGTTTCACTGGTGTGGAATATTGAGATTGTATTAAAAAAACTTCGCCAAGATGTGTAGTTAATATAAGTTTTGCCATCCCAGCAGTGTTGTTCAAAGAAATTTCATAGCCTAGGCTTTGGTTAACCGGGTGTGAGCCTTGACCAGACCTACATATACTTCTACAATATTAAAGCAATAAATTAGGAGTATATTATTTTTCTAATGAAAAATCTAATTAACTTTATGTTGAAGATATACTATTAGATCTGTTGTCTTGCTTGTTGGACTTCAGGACCCAAAAGTAGACCCTCCATACAGTACATACACTGTTATGAACTATGGATCGTACAAGTGGCATCAGAGCTAACACCATGGCTTCTGTGGGAAGTACTTTTTAAACTATGGTCTCATTTTTCTCCTAAACTCCTTCACTCCCATTCGGCCATGCTATCTGATGTAACTTTTAGTCCGTATGCTTATCAACATTTTCATTGACCCTTTTAATGGGTTTGATTGATGCAACTTCTTTAGTTTATTTGTCTATTGAAGCGAGCCTATGAATTATTCTGAGAATTGCAGCAATTGCTGCATTGTTGCTAAGACTGATTTTGATTAAAAAATTCACAGAGGAGAGAAGTATATCAAGATACGTGCAATGATGACCGAAATGCTTGTACAACATATAATATGGATTCAAGATCTTCCTCACTCAAAGTTAGTGCTACCATATTGTCTGAATCAGAAGATTCAAACAGAGATGAAGATAACATCAAATCCACTTCTATTGTTGAAACCAGCAGATCAAAAATAACTAATTCTGAATATGCTGACAAAAGTGTGACACCACCTCCTGGAGATGCTTCTGAAACTGAAAATGTGTCCCCTGACATGCCCCTAAGAACTTTAGGCAGGCGTAAGATTTCAAAGCATGCCTCCAAGTCTAACGATCATTCACCTGATAAAAGGCAGAAGATATATAGCTCACCGTTTCCTTTTGCAATGAGTGTACTGAACAAGCAATCTGTTCCAGAAATTGGTGAGACATGTCCAGATTCCATAGAATCTGCAGTTGATCAACTTCCAAGTCTGGATGACCCTAACAAGAAAATTTCTACCAAAGATATGTGTGCTGGAAGCACAACTAACACTACTGAAAATACATTACGAGATAATAATAATAATTTGTTCATCTCCAACAAGGAGCACTCTATTTCTCATTGGAGTGCTTTAGAGAGAGATTTGTACTTGAAGGGAATTGAGATATTTGGGAAAAACAGGTAATTCTTTTATATTTCCCATGCTATTTGAAAATATTGTTTATTGAAAAACGTAATTTAATTTTAAGTTCATAATGGTATGCCACAGTTGTCTCATAGCTAGAAACCTATTGTCTGGCCTGAAGACCTGCATGGAAGTGGCCAGCTACATGTACAACAATGGTGCGGCAATGGCAAAGAGACCTCTATCTGGTAAATCCATTTTAGGTGACTTTGCAGAGGCTGAACAAGGTTACATGGTACGTATTGACTGGCCTCGTTAGGTTATGCTTTTATCCAGATCAAAGAAGTCAAAAGAATCTATAACTTTGGTAGTTATTTTTTTCTGAATGTTTTCAGCACGTCTGCATTATAGTGGCTGTATTTGGTTGTTGTTCATCCTCCTGATATTTAGTTCTGTAGTCGTTATATTATATTAAATTTCTTTCGGCACCCACAATAAAGATGGACATGGTTCTTTTTTTGGAAACAAGCGTATTGTTCCTAAAACTGGCTAGTGCTAGAATTGTAGGTTGTCTCATGTTTTCATATATTAGGTGGTTAGGGGAAATTATATTTTATTGTGAAGTATAGACAAATTCCACCGGTCCTATAGGTTTGCCTTCCTTTTTTGCTTCTAAGCACACCATCTATAACAATGTACAAAAAGGAGAAAAACTGACAATTCAATACTCCCTCCATCTACTTTTGATAGTCATATTTTCAAATCTGAAAAATTTATTTTTGATAGGCATATTTCAATCCAACAACATATCCTCTTAATGACTTTCTCGGATTTAATGCGTGACTCTCCATTCTTCCACACAAGATTGGCTACATGGGCATCGAGAAATGTAAATATTAATGAATCGCTTGTTTACGAGGAATGACTAGTAGCATGTTTCAATAGATGATAAGTAGAATTACTTATCCTTGGTCTGTGTGCCAAGATGAAATATGACTATCAAAAGTAGATGGAGGGAGTATTTCATAGTATTTACAGAAAACAAATTGATCTATGGCTAGTATATGAGTGCATGCCACCGTTTTCCATTTGAAATCAAGCCTGTTACTTGTTACTACTGTTTACAATCGAAAAACCAGTTTTCCTGCCTTGTGCCTTCACAGTTTAGTTAAGATAATCTCAGTGCTACTGCACAGTTAAAAGCCAAAACACAAACATATTTTGGCTTCATTTACAACTGCTATTTTTACTCCAGTAACCTAATTGTTGTCCCAGTTTCAATCATTATTGTTACTCCAGTGACACAATTATTTACTCATCTCTTTGCAGGAGCAAGATTTGGTGGCAAGGACAAGAATCTGTCGTCGTAAGGGCCGAGCTCGAAAGCTCAAATACACTTGGAAGTCTGCAGGGCATCCAACTGTAAGAAAAAGAATCGGTGATGGAAAGCAATGGTACACTCAGTATAACCCATGTGGGTGTCAGCAAATGTGTGGCAAAGATTGCGCCTGTGTGGAAAATGGAACTTGTTGCGAGAAGTACTGCGGGTATGTCAAGAAATTTTTTATTTTCCCTTTTTGTTGAGTAGAAATCTGATTTTTCCTTTACTTCTCTTATAGAAATACTTGTATGAACCTGTGTTGAGCTGTTTGATAAAGAAATCAAATTAAATACGGTGTCAATTCACTTGTGCATTTCTGTTTTATGATCATGTTAGTGTAAAGCAAAAGCTTGACGCTCACTTGTTTTAATTATTATCATCAACAGGTGCTCAAAGAGCTGCAAAAATAGGTTTAGAGGATGTCATTGCGCAAAAAGTCAATGCAGAAGCAGACAGTGCCCGTGTTTTGCTGCCAGTCGTGAATGTGATCCAGATGTTTGCAGAAACTGCTGGGTGAGGTAATCAGCATGTTGTGCACTTAAGGACCCTCTTGCCCTCGTATTCAAGGCAATACCCATGCTTTGGGATAGTCTTTTAACAGAAACTAACAAAAATATTGATTGGCTATCATGTGCTAATTTATTCAGATTTATTTTGTTTAATTAATTACACGTTACACGCATGGCGTTTATTCTCTTCAGCTGCGGAGATGGCTCACTAGGTGAGCCACTGGCAAGAGGTGATGGCTATCAGTGTGGAAACATGAAACTCCTCTTAAAACAACAACAACGTGTGAGAGCTCTAGTCTTGTATTGCTTGTTTATCTTTCCACATCATTGTGCTGTACTATCTTAACTGCGTTGTTTGTTGATCATGGATCAGATATTGCTTGGAAAATCTGATGTTGCGGGTTGGGGTGCATTCATTAAGGTTAGATCAATGAAAAAGCACCTTTGGATATGATGCATTTTGCATTTTGGCTAATTCCTTTTTTTTCTTTCTTTCTTGCAACATGTAGAACCCAGTAAATAGAAATGATTACCTTGGTGAATACACTGGCGAATTGATTTCTCATAGAGAAGCAGATAAGCGTGGCAAAATATATGATCGAGCAAATTCATCGTTCCTATTTGATTTAAATGAGCAGGTGTGAACTAGGTCTTCATTTCTGGCCAGTTGGAGTGTCCTGGGTTTGTTAAAAGTGAAACAGGTAACCTTTATTTGATGTGTTCTTGCAGTATGTACTGGATGCTTATCGCAAGGGGGATAAACTGAAGTTTGCAAATCACTCGTCGAATCCTAACTGCTATGCGAAGGTAATGACTTATTTTTACTGAATATTCATCATGCTCTGTTGCCTTTCTCGTTCTGATTCCGTCTGCCCGTCCAGGTTATGTTGGTGGCTGGCGATCATCGAGTTGGTATCTATGCAAAGGACCGCATTGAGGCTAGCGAGGAACTCTTTTATGATTACCGCTATGGACCTGACCAAGCCCCAGCTTGGGCTAGGAGACCGGAAGGGTCAAAAAAGGATGAAGCATCTGTCTCTCACCACCGAGCGCACAAAGTTGCTAGATAGTCCAACAGCAGCTCCAGATGATAATATCAACTGTAAATTATACCGTCATTGAAACACATAGTTCAATCCTAGTCCATTATACGGCCAATCGTTGGCATAATAAGCATATTCTATATTCCTTAGTTCCTTGGTAAATAAACTGAGATATCGAGTATGCGAATAAAAGAAAAATAAGGCACTGTAAGTTTATTTGTACAAAGTTTGGAATTTATGCTATGTATAGTTTTGCCTGTACTCTGACATTGATTCTACTCCCTCCGTCTCCATATTATAAGGAATTTTGGGTAACTACTAGAATATGTCACATCTACCCAAAATCCCTTATAATATGGGATATGTCACATCCACCCAAAATCCCTTATAATATGGATCCACCCAAAATCCCTTATAATATGGAACAGAGGGAGTACAATATTAGGCATATGAATCTTTATATTCTGAATGGGTGTATTTTATTTTCCAGCTATTATTGTATTCTTGTAGTTTATCTGATCAGTTCAGACCTTGAAAAATTGCATGCTCTTGCTGGTGAAAGCTAGTGGTGTGAAACGAATGCATCTGCTGGAGAAGAGATGCACTTGAGTAGGACCATGATTGCTCGCTCTTTTCACAATCAATGAATCAAATTACATAATTACAGATTGGAATGTCGAAACGACCCTGTTCTCAAAATTGTATATAGACCCTTTTGTTGTGAGGATACCAGATGGTAGAACAGCAGCTCATTCCATGTATCTAGCTTGTTACACCCTTTTGTTGTGAGGATACCAGATGGTAGAACAGCAGCTCATTCCATGTATCTGGCACTCCAGGAAGGCACCAGTGGCTGCAATCCTGAACGCTCGATGCTGTCAAACCTACCACTGCCTTCCTCCCATACACAGATGGATGCCCATCTATCCTGAGCCCAGATAGATTGGTAATGTTCAGAATTGTCACAGAAGTCTTCATTTGCTGTGCTACTTGCTCCAAGATCATGTTTATCTCAGGCACCGGCCTTACACGAGTGTCACTGAGAGGCAGTGTGCTCTCTCTGCAGTGTCCCCCTGAATTCCACTCCCCGCCGCTGAACTCATGGATAAGACAATAAGTTGCTATGTTACCGCATCAAGTTTCTAGTGCTACAATTGAACAGATGAGGAAGCAAACCTGAAATGCGACGGGGATGAGCTTCGGAAGAACACTCGAGTTTTCCTTGGATTGATGTAATGGTCGACCCATGATGCCCATGTGGTTAGTGCTTTAAGGTAAGCTGTGGAAGCATCGAGATGGGGATATACATGATCACCTTCTTGATAGTAGTTCACTCTGAAAATGAAATGCAGCTGTAAGAGGCTATCATTAAGCTGCTACATCTATATAATAACATGGCCTAAAAAAAATGTCAATAGCTGCATTTACCGATCAATTTGGTTGTACCACGGTAAGGGGTGAATGATTCATTATTGCCCCTATTTATAAACACTCACCCAGCTTTTGTTTTGTGATGCGACCACCAATGAGCAGTGTTGAACACAAGAACATCAGCACCTCTCCATTTTGACGAGGTGCGATCAACAGTATCGATCCATAGTGTCCTCGTGCGCTTTGAGCCAATTCTTGCTTTGCCTTCATGCACCAAGAAATGCGTCACATGGTACTCCACACTGCAATTGTAATCCTGCGGCAACCTTACCGAGATAAATATTGTGTACCGAATTCAAACACCGAACATATTCCAACAGTAGAAATTAGATCATACAAACCAAAAACTTGAAGTTGTAATCTCCTCTCTCCTTAGTAATCCTGCGGCCTCGAGCTTCATGAATCCTTGCAGGATCTGAGACTGCCCCTCTCAGCAAGCACATCATGGATTCCCACTGATTTCTGTTAATGGAGTCTCCGACAAACACTAGCCGTTTTCCTCGCAACATCTCAAGCATTTTCCTAGCATCAAACCTAAAATTTCATTGCATTCCAAAGTCAGCAAATGTTGAGCTCAATAACCTAAGCAATCGATAAACTGCACGAATGCACCGTAACGCAGCACCTCGGTATACTGCAATGAGTTGGCTGCCACCTCCACTTCCTGTAGCTTCCATCCATTCTTCCATTTGCTTCGCAGCTGAATCCTTCATCTATGAACGGGCAAGAATCACTCGTGTAAAGTGGATAGCTCTCATCGAACACCCACCTTCCATCATAGACATTGCATAGTGCCGCATCGCTTCTCGCCGCATCCACCTTGCTATCCACCGTTTCCTGAACCAGGTCAGTCTTTTGCTTGCTTGAACTGAGTGGAGCTGCTCCAGAGCTGTTCCTCACTGTCGAATGAGCTGAATGTTCCCCTTGATCCACTCGTTGAGAAGTATGTGCTCCTGCAGAGGAATTTCCACTTTCTCCCTGCAAGAATTCACCGTTCGACCCGAGGTCTGAATCTCCCATGGAGGAATCGACATCTTGCACAGACTTGGGTTTCTTCGGTTCCTCTGCTGGAGCGGCTGCTTCTTGCGAAGCGGATGCATTGCTAACAAGTAGGTTCGTCTCCATCGCCGAATCGGCAACTTCTTTGGTGGTATTCTCGCCTTCTGCGGAGTTGCCATCCCCACCTCCAGCAGGAGCTCCTTCCGCCCCCATGGCCGAACCGGAATCACCATTGGCAGGAGCTCCGCCGTTTTCGCTTCCCAGTGCCGCCTCTTTCACCTCCATTGCGGAACCCACGCCTCCCGCGGACGGAAAACCTCCGGCATCCGAGCGGCGGGCTGCTTCCCCCAAGCTCCCGCTCCTGCCCCTGCCCGGAAGAACATCCACCGCCGCGCCGCTCGTGGAGCGGCCCCCACCACCTGCAGCAAGAACCGGGCCCCGCGCAATGGCGGAGGCGTTCCCGGCGAGGGAGGAGGAGGCGACGAAGGGGAGGTGGAGCGGGCGGCCGAAGCGGAGGGCGAAGAGGGAGAAGAGGAAGGAGAAGAGGAGGGAGGAGGAGGCGAAGGAGAGGAGGATGAGGCCCTTGGGGCTCACGACGCCGTAGTGCGAGGTGGACGACGAGCCACTGCTCCTCTGCCTGTCCATTCCTGCGCGGCCTACGGCTACCGTAGCGGCGCCGCGGCGGACGGCGGCGGCGATGACGCCGAGCGAGCCGCGTAGGTGAGGTAATTAAGGCGGCAGCGAGGCGTGGCGAGGCAGGAGAGAATACGAAGCTGGCGTTAATAACAAGTTTAATACTAGTATAGTCAATTATTATCTCCAAATCATCTATAACTAATGTAATAGCTAATTTATACAATAGTTGTTTATTATACTAGTATTAATATCTGGTTTCACCTGACTATAGATCTGTAGCATGTTGCTCTTATCTCTTTTGTTTTATCTTTTTAAAATATGTTTATAGCTGGCTTAGAGCAGGTACAATAGCAGCTATTAGCCAGCTGTAAACATATTTTAATGAGATAAAGGATGAGAGAGAAGAGCAGCGGGCTACAAATCTGTAGCCAGTTGCAGCGCGAACTCTAAGATACAATGTGTATATGACAGGTGGAACATATATTAATAGTATAGTAAGCAACTATTGTATGAATTGACTATTAGATTGACTATAGATGAATTGGAGCTAGTAGTGGGCTACTATTAAACTTGCTCTAATAGCCTATTATTGTAGCTGCTCTAACTGCAACGGAAACGGCAGCACGGGACGCACTTTCCGGTGTTGTGTTGTGGAGTGAGTGGCGTCAGTGCAACGGAAACCGCACTTGCTTCCGTTCTGAGCCCTTGACTTGCCTTGACCATTGTTCTTTCCTTTTGTTTTATATAATAAAAAAGAGGATGACTGTACTAGAAGTTAGCAATTGTAAATTGTTTGTATCAAGTACGATTGCACCCACTAATAAGGACCACAAATGAACAGCTAACTGAAAGTGCCTTCGGAAATCGGAAATATATTTGGTTTATGATTCTGAACTTTCTGATGGAATCATTGAAGCGTATCATGGATGTAGCACCGGACACACGGCACGCTTCGGTCTCCAGAAGCATCACCTAAATTACTAGTAATATACCGTACTAACGGAGGTGTCATAACATTTTTCTTAATAAGTTATTAAAATTCGACTGCAATGAAAATAATGTTCCTAGAATCTGTCCATTTAAGCTTTTAGTCCAAGGTCATATATAAAAAATTATTATAATATAACTTAAAATTATTTATTCAAGATAATATAACTTAAAATTATATCTAATCAATTCAATATACACTATACGAGGACAATGCATATCCATACCAAAAAGAATGGTTGAGTTATTCCTCAAGAAATCAAGATAGATAAGTATGAATCTTTTTCTGGTAAGTATGCACCATGAACGACCCAACCGATTACTGCAAAAACCATTGACTTCGGGTAAAATATGGTTGAATTTTGTCAAAAATTTAAAGTCAGTTTGAATTTTTAAACTTGCCAAAAAATCAAAACCAAACATTTTTGTTATCAAGCCAGTCTAACAAGTTTGATTTTTTCGTAAACCTTGCCGGAGAGTAAACATCAAATATTTATAAGAGGATGTATTTACAACAAAATATACAACTCTTCTTCTCATTACTTCTTTTGCATGTCTTAAATCAATATCCTTTACTGAAACATATATTGTCTTTTCATTATTTGATTTGCATTATCAAATACTGCCGTGACTATAATACTCTTTTGGTTATCACTGATTCAAGCATTCAAGCTAAGTATTTGTCAGCAAGCTGCAAGCCATTCCTGATGTATGTTTCTGCTTTCCAACGGCATACATCCTTCCCAGAGCCAAAAGTTCAATCGAAGCCATCTGAAGAATAAATAGCCAGCCACATCCTTTGATTATAGTTGAGTTATCATGTGTAAAAAAAAAACAAATACAGTATTACCTCAGATTATCTTTCTACTGCTACAACTTTATTAATTTTAATATAGTTTGCTTCGTCGTAGCATCCGCCACTTTGGCACAACCTTCATTTAACATGTCAAGGTTGTCAGCCTACATGCTACATCACGGCCTCAACCCTGGTTCCATGCATAGACAAGCTCTCTTCCAATGCCATTTTTGGCCTTAACCCTGCTTCCATGCTTAGACAAGCTCTCTTCACTCTTCTAAGAAATATATCCTTTTAATATAAAGAGCTAATGAGTTTCAGCATTATTATATATCTCTTCTATATAGGAAATATGTTGTTAATCAAAACAATGCAACCCTTATCAGCAAGAGGCAAAGATAAACATACCATCCAGTATTATTACATATCTCCTTTTTTTAGATACATACTAGTATCTCTTATGTACAGGACATATGTTAATTAAAATAATGCAACCCTAATCAGCAAGAGACAAAGATAAACATGCTATCACTGAATATGAGGAATAGATTTTCTGGAAGTTGCGCCAACCCTGATATCATCAACTCTAAAAAGTCTCTCCAGTGTAATTTGATCAGGATTAGGAACCAACATGAACTCCTCTGATAATTCCAAAAGATCAGCTATATCAACCTCAGCACATCCAAGCAAAGAAATAAGTCCAGTGGCCGCCCCAGAATTAGCAACAGCAAGAAGAGTTCCTCTGCTACCGTTGCAAACCAGACTTGCCAAAGCTTGTGCAGCAAAGTACCTGTATCTGTATGCTTGTTCATCTGACCTGAACAAGTTTGAGAGCACAGGAATTGAGTGCAATGCTGCATTAGATCGATTTATCTCCCTTTCTTGAAATAGCAAAGCAAGAAGTAAGGCACAGACCCATGCAGTGCTATCTTCTTCACGCTGAAAATATGATCATACATTTAAGCAATCGCAGCTATCAAAAGAATTTGGCAAGATATATAAATAGTATGTAAAAAGCAACAAAGTTAAAAAAAATATCTGAGTAGATATCTACAGTCAAAATTAGATATTATCACATGAGAATGAAGAATTTACGGAATCACACAAAGTCCAATATTCTGAATACTGAACTAGAACAACAGGAATGCACAGCATTCCTGTTTCCTATATGTTGTTATTTGTTGCAATTTAAACTTGATGTGATTATAAGAATATTGTTATTGAATATTTGAGTTTGTGTTCAGGAAACCAACCCCAACACTGGGACAAATGTTTTGTTCCAGATACCCTACTTGTGGCATCAAAGAATGTGTAGCAACTACAGCAGGGTTGCTAGTGCAAGATAGACGATGGGTCTCTAGCTCTCTGCTGACTAGAAGCAAAAAGCTTCAATACCAAAGTAACAGATAGAACTAGAGATAAATGGATCGAGAATAGATACAAAAGAAGGATGATTGAACACACTTACTGTGTAAATGCACAGGTGATGATTGTGCACAAGGACTATATTAATCCTTGAGACTTCAATCTATTCACATCAACCCCAAGAATTCAACAATACGCATTAACAAACGACTATTCAATGGAAAAGTATAAATTTGTTATAGGGCTCTGATGGTGGCAAAGGGATGGAATCCTTTGAGGAGTTAAATTATTCACTCTAGCAATAAACTTTAACCTGGTCTCTTAGCTGGGTTCTCCAACAACCTGTTCAATCTAGCTCCCCACTGCTTTCTATATGCGACTGTTGCCTAGACTTTATGCATAACTACCAAATTGACATAAAGTTTTCTTTTCCTTAAAACAATGAAAACCCTGGTTCCAATTCTCATTACAAAAGAGAAATCAGATAAACCAAAAGAATAATTAACGGAACTACGCTGCCTACGTTTATTTTAGAACTAGCATGATGTTAAAATACTAAAGTGCACAAGAGATACTAGCATTCACGTACCACATATAGGAATGCATTTTGAGAAATCTTCTCCATAAGCATTTCGACTGCTCCAGCTTCTAGAATTTCAGCCCTTGTTTTGCTGTCATGGCGTGCAAAAACAGCAAGCAGCCATAGCGGAATCATGTTACCTGAGATTACAGCAGTGCGGCACACAGTTTCATCGCTGTTGTTATTTTCTTTGGAGTGTCTAGAAATTTTAATGTCTGATATGTTTTCACCACTCCCATTTTCAGAAGGCAAGTTTGTCATATGAATCATACTGACTAGAGAATGGATTAGTTGAATGTATAAGCTTGAGTCACTGAGAATCTCTATCTGCTTCTGACAATGCTCTTTCGCTGCACAAACAAGAAGAGAACATCCACCAACTTTAACTTTAAGCATGTTGGACCCAATGACTCGCCGTGCAACTGATGATATGCAGCCTGGGATTTCTGAAACCAAACCACCCACAATATCATGTTGATCAGAACAGAGCCTCGATAAAACTTCTATGGCCTTGTCTTGCAATGAAGGTGCTGCATCCGCTACACATGACACAAGAGGAAGTATGGTGTGGGGATTTTCTGCAAGAACTGTCCATGGAGCTTTGGTATGCCCACTTGACACCTTTGGTAGTTTTGATAATAGCACCAGCGCATCAACAACTTCTGATGTTGCGGCAGCTTCACCATTCGCAGCTTCCAAAAGCCCAGCTAGAGCAAGGACAGCACCTGACCGGTTAATAGTATCTGAAAGAGGTTGGTTAATTGGCCGGCACTGTAAAAGGCGAGCTATTGCTGCTGCTGCATGAGTTCTTCCATCAATAGATCCCTCTCTAAGCACATGTGCTATGGGGAAGATAATTTCTTCAAAAGATACTTGCAGAGATAATTCATGATCAAGAAAAAGGTTTGCCAAAGGTCGCTTGTTCTGCTACTTCTAGAACTGTAGAATTTGCAAGTGAGACAAGTGGAGCTAATGCATCCCGCCCAATTGCAGCAACATCCTTATTTTGCTTGATTGACAGAAAAATGGCAGCAAGGCAAGATGAGGCCGCCATTAGTATTTTATCTGTCTGCCCATCAATCAGCTTCATGACTGACCAAAGTGTCTTCACTGCAATATGAGTTTCTCGCAAGTCCCTGCGACAATGAAACAGTCCAGCAAGAGCAGATGCTGATTTAGCCTGAGTTTCTTCTTTAGGTGAGTTGAGAATTTTGATCATAGTCTCAACTGCATCATTTGCAGCACTTCCTTCATGCAGAATATCATTAAGGGGTGCCACAGAAAGCAAGCTTTTCAAAGCATCAGGACATGAACTTTTGATTCAGGTTGTTCACTAGTTAAAAGAGCAGACAACTGACTAATAGTTCCTGTATCTGATTTGTGAATGAGATGATTCAGTGTTTTAGATGCTATCTCCTTTCCGTTGTCACTTTCATTTTTCAGAAGCCATAGTAAAGCGGGCACAGCATCAGCACTTTCAACACATGCCCGTATGTCTTCACTGTGGTTGCACAAATTGCCAAGGATGGTTGCTGAATCTTCTTTAGCTTTGAATATGTCACATGATGAATGATGAATGAGTAAAACCATTTGTTCAACTATAGGGTAGATATGAAACACTGGCAAATGGAATCAACTTGGACTGTTATACAAGTCACCAATCAAAATACCTGTTGACAAAATAATTGCATTCTTGCGAAATTTACTCTCCTACAATTGAAACTGAAATAGTAGGACTAGTTCATAGTCATACTTCTATTGACAATCAAGTGTGCACTCTTCGCATATTAATCTGGTATTTGCACAAAAATAACACGTGCAATTGCAAGCAGAGATTGTTCTAATTTCTAAACAAACTGGCAATGGATTGCAAAAAAGGACGTTGGACGAGCATATGCATAGATGCATAATCCTCAGGCATAAAACAATCAATCTGTCACCGAAGTAACACGAGATCAAAGAACCTTGAAGCATAATCCTCAGGCGTCAACAATCAGTCCGCCAGCGCCTACAAAGGCGCGAACGCCGCCTTGGAGATGACATGCGTCTTCTTGCCGAGCCCGAACCCGATGATGTGGTTGATGTACACGTCGCCATCCTTCACCGTCGCCGACGAGCCGATCCGGTGAGCCGGGCCGACGTACCGGCCGGTGACGACGGCGGTCTCCCAGTCGTCGTCGCTCTCGACCAGCCGGCTCACCAGGCCGGCGGCGACCAGCCTCGTCGGGGACAGCAGCGCCAGCCCGTCGCCGGTCTTCAGCGAGCCCTTCACCTTGACGACGTGCACGCTCCCCGTCTTCGGGCAGACCTTGAAGAGGTCGCCGCCGGAGGTGTGGATGACGAGGAGGTAGCCGTTGGGGTGGTAGACGATGCCGTTCAGGCCGACGAAGTTGTTGATCCACCCTGGCCTCTGGAAGAAGGTGGCGTTCTTGATGACGGACAGCGGCTCGCCGTCCGGGCTCACCTTCCAGATCTTGTTGCCCTTGGCGTCCGTCACGTACGCGTTGCCTTCCTCGTCGACGGCCACGTCGTCGGCGAGCGTTGAATCACCTACAAAATTATATAAAAATCCATTCATATTCTCGAAATTTCTTGAATTTCAAATTGAATTTACTACAAACTAGGAAAATATAATAATCGTTGTAATTTGCTCAGAAGAGAGTAAATAAACAATAGATTGGTGGCTCCCTTTCCAGTGAACAATGCTCGAAATGGACGCCTAGAAGCTACAAATCCATGGCGGCCATAGATGGCGCGGACTCACGGACGCACCTGGCCGGTCGAGGCGGACGAGGAAAAGGCGGCGCCAGGAGCCGAGCTCGTAGGCGGCCACGGCGGCGTACCCGAACCACGGCGCCAAGTCGGTGTACACCACGAGCAGGCGCCGTCTCGGCGCGTCCAAGGTGAGCCCCGTCGCCGACCTCCCGGCCGCCCCGGGGTCCGCCACGACCACCCGCGCCTCCACCTTCCCCTCCCCCGCACCCGCGCCGCCGCCGCCGGGCACCTCCACGACGCGGCCATCGGTCATGGTGGTGACCAGGAACCGCCCGCCCTCGGCGTCCCACCTGACGCCGTCGTGGAACCACCCGTCGCCCACGTAGGACACGCCCCTCGCCGTCCCCTCCAGGAACGCGACCACCGCGGCCGCCGCCAGCGCCGCGACGGCCAGCGACGCGGTCCCGCGACCCCCGCCGCCGGCGCCGGCCCCGCCGCGGCGGCGGCAGCATCCACCGCACATGACACAGCCACTACAAGATCTGGGGCGCCTCGCGTAATTCGGGTGGTTGAGTAGCGCGCGTGGCGTAATTGCTGCTGTCACTGTTCGAGCTCCCAAGTGCGCCGTGGGGTTAAGAGGGGGTTTGGCTCCACCGCGCGCTCCTGGAGGGACAACCATGACCATGGCGGTGTCAGGCCTCTCACAGTGGCCGTACCCTTAGTTTAAAAAGTTGGCACAAAGAACACCCACCACCTAATTGGATGGAGAGACAAGTAAAGGAAACGAAGCTCACAGTGAGCGTGACCTAGCCACCAAATCCACAACTTAATTTCCCAACTACCCCTCTCTCTGTGTTCGGCCGTCTCTTTTTCTTCTCCCCGGTGCGCACCGCATCCCCTCCCGCATCTCGCTTGCATCGCCACCGCTTCGACTCCCCTCCTCCCTCCACCGACGGCCGGCGCCGGATCTCCTCCCTCCGCCGCCGGCACCGGCTCTGCTTCTCCTCTCCTCCCTCCGGCGCCGGCAGCCGCGGTTGCCGGCTCGCGCGGCGACCGACGCGCGCGGGAGGCGCCGGATCTCCTCCCTCCGCCGCCGCCGCCGGCTCTGCTTCTCTTCTCCTCCCTCCGGTGCCGGCAGCCACGATTGCCGGCTCGCGCGGCGACCGACGTGCGCGGGAAGCGTCCTCGGGAGGCTCCGGCGCCAGCGGAAGACGATGCGCCGATGGGATGTGGTGGCCGCGGCGGCGGATGTGGTGGTCGACGCCAGATCTCCTCTCCCCGCCGCCGCCGCCGCGAGGAGGAGGAGGTAGTGTTAGTCAAGGAGGACGAGCAGAAGCAGAAGCACTGCGGCCGCGTTCTTTGATCTTTTTTCCCAACTCGATTCGATCGATCACATCACTTGCTAATAACAAGATGGGATTAGCTGTTCTTATCTTTGCATGTTCTGTTCTCTAATTCTTGATGAAAAAAAATCAAGAACTGCTCTCGCTTCTTATCTTTGCTTGTCATGCTGATGTTTCAAGACCCAGAGAGATCCTTCACGTGGTGACCGCTTCTTTTTGATTTTTTTGCCTCTTTTTTCTTTTTCATTTCTTCAATTTTTCGTTGTTTAACCTACAAACGATCTCTTCCAATCCCCAAGATTTTCTTGCCTTTTCTTGACTCGGTGACGGGAGGAGATTTGCTGCGGTGCCGAGGCGGGAGAAATCAGTGGACCGGAATAATGGGTGGCGGGAGGAGATTTGCTGCGGCGGGAGTGGTTTTTTGGAGGGCAATACGGGGATTTCGCGATAAGATTTCTGGGCGAGGGCACGCAAGGGCGAGCAACGCCGCCCACAGTGGTTTTTTGGAGGGCAATACGGGGATACGCCGCTCACGCCCTCGAACTGACGAGGTTTCGCGTGGCTTTGTTTGGTGACGAGCTTCCTAGCTAAGGCACGGTTGCACGCGACACGTTAGCAAAATTCCGACGTGGCACACGAGGTTCCCCCTCCAGCTAGGAGCACTGTGAGAGGCCTCAGTGGGGACGTGCTCCCGTGACCGCGGATGGAGCTAGCAGAGTTGCAGCTCGTGCCTCACTGCCTCGGCCTTGGTGGTAGTATGATCGGATCTCTGCGTCTGCGAGCAGAAGAGACGGGAAACTATGGGCCGGGCCTCTTGGTTGCCTGGTTTGCCTAGAAGGGTAGAACTTGGCAGTGGAGACGACGGGCATTGTCCCGTGGAAATTTGATGATTTGCCGCTTTTAGCGGCTGTGTAAAGAGTGAAAAATCATCATCAAGATAACTCATCTGTGTTCGATTGCACCATGGAATCGCGCCTCTATTCTCGTGGTAAGAGGAGAAGCAATTCGCTACCAAGCCTCCTCTGTCCCCTCCCAAGTACGAAGTACCAATCACTTATCACTCACTCGTTGCTTCATGTACATCCTCCAGTACTTAAGCACATGGCGTCCTCGTAGTCGTAAAGATGAGTCGCGGGACCACAAATAGATGCATCTAAATCGGCAAGATTAACTTCGATGGCGGCGGACAGAGAAGAAATTCCGGTGTTCCTTGCAACATGAGCGTCACATTGGTCAAGTGATTAGGGGATGGCATGTATTGACAGCGAAATGGAGTGGATGCCCAGGCCGGTCTGTGTCATGAGATGAGGAGCAAGGGAGGCTTCGTACATCCTAGAGATCAAGGGGAAGAGGCAGCCAACGCGCGAGCAGTCGGTGTTACTGTTAGGCCAGGAAAAAAGCCACTTCTGGATTACTAATAACTTGAGTGTGAACTCGCAGCTTCTCCTCATTGGTTTTTGGTTGATTTTAGTAGTATGCGACAATGCGAAAACGAGAGGACGGGGAGTCCAGAAGTGTTCAGTTCAGTCAGTAAAACTTTCGTTAGATGTAAACTGGAGTAGCGAAAGATGGAAGTTGGTGTTTGGTGACCAACAATGAAGGAGACGGCATGGTCGGGTAAGGAAAGGAAAGGAAAAGAAGCTTCTGACTTTTAGTGGATCTAAATGGCAAATCTAGTTGGGTTTTAGGCCTGAAAATATGCTGCTGCTCTTCATATCTCTCTTGTCCCAGAGAACCCAAACAGAAGTGCAACCAACCACCATTATATTCTTCATACTACCTGCGAAGATCTCCATTCATGGACGTTCCCTACGAATTAAATGCACACGAGCAAACCATGCAGCCACAGCGAATCTGTCCCCATGTCATACTGTACCTTCTCGTGGAAGGCTTTTCGCCTTTTCGGCGCCGTCAAATACCAAGGCCCCACCGATCAGTTAAAAAAAAATACTCACACGATCACACGATGAGTCCATGGAGGAGGTAAAGGTAAAGATCGTGATCGATCACGCACCTGGTCCGTCGAGGCGGGTGAGGAAGAGGCGGCGCCACGAGGCGAGGTCGTACGCGGCGACGGCGGAGTACGCGAACCGCGGCAACCGGTCGGCGTAGACGATGAGCAGGCGCCCCCTCGGCGCGTCGACGGTGAGACCCAGCGCGACCCTCCCGGCGACGTCGGGATCCGCCAGGACCACGCGCTCCTCCTCCTTCTCCTTCCCTTTCGCCTCGGCGCGGAGCTCGGACACGCCGGCGCCGAAGAAGTTGGACACGAGCAGCCGCCGTCCGTCGGCGTCCCACTTGGCGCACTCGTGGAGCCACCCGTCGCCCACGTAGGAGACACCGCCGGCGGTGCCCTCCAGGACGGCGACCGCCGCGGCGGCCGCCAGCGCCACGAGGGCGAGCGCCGTCCCCGCGCACCCCCGCTTCCTCCCGCCGCCGGCGCCGGCCGCCCCCGCCTCGGCGGCTCCCCCGGCACCGCGGCCGCAGCAGTCACCACACATGGTGCAGCGATTGGGTAGCCTACAGCAGCGGCGAGATTTGAGTAGCCAACAGCAGCGGCGAGATTTGGGTAGCCTACAGCAGCGGCGACGAAGGGGAGGAGGATTTGGCCCGATCCGATTTGGTCAATGTAGGGCGAGCTGGTTTGGGTCTTCCCGCTATTAAAAATGTATAGTACTGATTTAGTGAGGATTTTGGTGAGCTGGTGTGTTTTAGCGAGTATTTTGGTGGCATTTTGACGACCGGCGTGGGCCGCGGGGGAGCGGAATCTTTCAGTTTGTCCCTATCCATCCATCCAACTCCAACGCTGGTTGATCTGCGTGAGTTTTATGGGACAAGTTTGAGTGCGGACGGGGTAGGAACGCGCGCTGTGACCGCGAGTGGCGGCGAGCCGAGCCGGCGAGTGCATGGAGTTGACGGCTTTTGGCAAGGCTGGCGAGTGGCTGGCTTTGGAGGAAAGCACCGGAAGTCAGAGCATTCGGTGCGACTTTTTGCCTCGTCTTTTGCTTCCGGGGGGTCACGGCTTTGCGAGGTCATGGTGTCACACGGCTCACGGGGCAGGGTGATCGGTGTACCGAAAAGTTGAATGCTTTTTGCGGTGTAACCCTCTTAAGTACGAGAAATCAGGTAGAACTCCGTAGAGAGGACTCAACGAGAGTGATTTATGCGTAGGGTTGGCAACAAGGCAGGTTGGACCAGAGCGCCCCCGCCCCTGCTCCCCGGCCCCACAGAGATGGTCGGGTGAAAACCATCACCCGTCAAGTCGCTGCAAGGACCCGTGGGTGCGTGGGGCCAGGCACCACCCGGCTGACGATTGACGAGCGAGGAGCCGAGGAGCAGCGACGAAGCCAACGCCAACGAGGGACAACGACAGACAGGTGGCTGAGGACTGGGCGTCACTGCCACCGCCGCTGCGGATGCGCCTCCCTGGCCGCCGCCGCCGTGGATGCGGTGCTAGCCCTTGCCATTGCCGTCGCGGATGCGCCGCTAACGCCAACACGGATGGTCGTGCCCCTGGTCGTCGACGCCGCGACTCACAAGAAGCCGCCACCGCCTGCTGCTTCCGCTGTCCGCGCGTGTCCACCGTCGCTGGCTCGCCACCCATCCGTGCGTCTTCCGCTGTCCGCGTGTGATGGCTGGGTGGGGTGGGAAGGGAAATGAGGATAAGGTTAGGGAAGGGAATATATGAGGAATTAGGGTTAGACTAGATGGGCCTTTTTGGCTCATAATATGCTAGTATCAATAGTCTAACATACATCCTCCGGAGACCCGCGTGTCACCCGCCCCTCTGCCCTGGCTCATGATCGGGGCCCGGCCCCAACTCCCCGCGGGTTGAAATCCACACCCGCCCCTGCCCCCGTAGGGGCAGATCCCCGGCCCCACGGGGGAAATTGTCATCCCTACTTCTGTCAGATCGCTCAAAGTGTGCTTAGCTTATTTTTTGACGGGATCAGGTGTGTTTAACTAATGCTTATTAGTAATATGCCCGTACTAAACGCTACGGTGAAATTCTATGTCTTTAATTAAACTTTAAAATGGATTCGGATGCCGTGAATAAAAAAGTTATATAGAGTACAAGAAAATATTTTTTCCGCATGTCACGAATTCAGATGTTCCATTTCATTTTTGTTATGTGTGCTTTTTGAATAAAATTAATACACCCTGTTCGGTTCACAAATGGTAATTGGTTATATCCCTGAATGAAATCCACGATCCGCTGGCAAAGATGTACCATTCTTTGTTGCAACAAATCATCCAAATCCAAATCTAAATGTAAAAATTTTGGGAATATTGTACCATTCATTATTGCAAATTTATAGTGCTTAGATTACTTAAAATTTATCAAAGGACTATGTTTAGATTACAATCCAAATGTACAATGGACTCATACAAAAATATGGTCTCGGGCTTAATTTGATAAAATTTCTTCTATCCACATCAGCAAAAGAACATCAGTGCACTGTACATTGTCTATATTGTACTATACAACAAGAAGAGACCGATCCGAATGGATGATGCTTTCTGGTAATATAAACATTACATCAACTTAACACGGTGAGTACGTCTTGCCAAGACAACAGATTGCATTTTCCACTGGACATTAGGATATGATACAGCTGATTGCCTGATTCTATGCTACAAGACCAACAAACTGATTTCCATAGCCCATCGAGTTGGTCGTAATTCTTAACACAAGGAACGTACAACAACACATGGAGAAAACTGTCCAACTATTTTCCGGTGTCCGCTGAAGGCCCAAATCTGAAAATGTTCAACAAGCAGCAACTCAAATGTTAACATGCTGGAGTTTGCACCAAATTATTTTCTTTTGCTTTCACTTCTAGAACGACATGGCAAATGCTAAACACAAAACTCAGTAAGTTCTGCTGGGATCTTTATAATAATAAATCAAAATGTCCAGATGATTAAGTAGTGGATGCACATTAGTGGATGAATGGAATAGTACAGTAAACTTTATAATAATACAATCTACAGATGATTAAATATTCCTTGTATAAGTTAACAATCACATCCACAACAAAAAGGCAGATTGCAAAGTTAATATGGCACCGAGATGAATTTGCAAAAAGAACAACTTAAGAACAAAGTGGAAAAGGTGATTATCACAGTTCTAGTGCTACCAAAGTGGAAAAGAACAACTTTATTTTTTTTATATAAATCAAAATGTACAGATGATCAAGTAGTAGATGCACATTATTGGATGAATGGAACAGTACAGTAAAAAGGATCACGTTGTCGAATGCAATATCTCAAAGCGGTACATTGAAAAAAAAAGAATCCCTGATACAGGAAAGACTCCCAACCACAGAAAGTAAACATATGACAAGCAAAATAGTTGAAATGGTCCTGATCCTTGCTTAAAGAAGTAGCACAATTTTATTCCATAAATATTTTCTAATGACATGGAGACATAGTTCAGAAAGTCAGGTAATAACACCAAGCAGAGTGTGGTCATAGGTGGTCACACTTAATTGATTCCTCCATAGTATATAAATGGATCTAAGTTTCTAAATTACAATAAAGGACAGGACGTTGGTAATTTGAATAGTAATTTCAGTAATCGATGTACGTGCAGAACAATAGTGCAGTTATTTTTAGGAAAAATCTTTATCCTGAAAGCCATGAACACATATCTATCTCATAGTCAAAGTGCAGTCAAGAAAGGAAAAGAACATTTGACATTGAAGTGGTACAAATCAACCAGAAAAAAAAGTAAGAGGGGGAACATACTGGATGCCGACACGGTAGTGTGGATGTTGAGGAATCGCCTCTGACCTGATGGATGCCCTATAGGGCGACGGCACGCCGCAGTTCTGGCGGCGGGAGTTCCTGGTGGAGATCGGAGACGGTGCAGAGAAAACCGGCGACGAGCGGCGGAGTGGTGCGCGACGGCGGACTGGCGGTGTTCGGCGGGGAAGTTAGGTTTAGGGTTTGGAGAGCGATGGAGGAGGCGGGAGGAGCGAGAGGCAGAGGGGGCGGGGCGGCGGCGCGGTGGGGAGAGCAATGCCCGCGTTGCGGTGCTGGGGGAGGAGAGCGGAAGGATTTCGGGGGTATGGGAGCGGAGTGATTTTAGGAAGGCGCGTGATTCAAGAGTGCTGGGTGAGGGAAGGCGACGCGTACGCAGGAGCTAATCGGCACGTTAGATTGAGATAATCTGGACCGTTCAGTGAAGAATAAAAGAATGAGTGATGAGTGAAAAGTATTTATTGAATGAAAAAGTCCACTTTGACTCCCTTAATTATCGGCGGAATCTAATTCGTAACCCTCAACCGCAAAACCGGATAAGACGACTCCCCGAATTATTGAAACCGGTGCAATTTGACTCCCTCAGCGGTTTTGGAGGGCAGTTTTGCTGATGTGGCACTGCCATGTCGATGTTGAACTAGTCTTCGTCTCACGTGGCGTTTAAGTGGCATTCAAATTAAAAAATATATATATGTGGGACATGTCTGTCATTCACACACAGAAATATATTATGGGGGCCATATGTCATCCTCTCTCTCTTTCTCTTCTTTTCACCGGTCTGCAGGGGCGAGAGCTAGACAAGCGGCGGCGGCGGACAAGCGGCGGCGGCAGGCAAGTGACACTAGGGCGGCGGCGGTCGAGGGAGTGGTCGGCAGCGGGGCCAGATCTTCCTCCTCCCTCTCTCTCCCTCATCCCTTTCTCCCTAGTTTGTGTGGTCGGCTGGAATGGTCGGCGGCGGCGGGATGACGACGGGACGGCCGGCGGCTGACGCCTCCGCCATGCCGCGCAGCAGCCGGCCAGCCTTGTCGCGGCGCACCGACAAGAACGCCCTCGCCACGCACGGCGACGACACCACCACGACGCCGCAGGCGCCCATCTTGAGGTACACATGACAGGCCCGTACTTGCGCACTAGCGACGCCTGGTCGGCGTGCGGGGCCAGGCCGACGAGCGGCAGCGCGCCGAGGACGGGGACGCCCGGGGTCCCGGGGGAGGCGGCGGCCGCCGCCGGGGAAGGGCGGGCGGTAGGAGCGGAGGGAGAGGTGGAGGAGGAGGCAGAGGAAGGCGGCGGAGAGCACGACGAGGCGGGGCGGCAACGGCGCCGTGGGGAGGGACGGGCGAGGACGTCAACGACTCACAGGGGGAGAAAAAGAGAGGCGGGGAGGGGGACTCCGCTTCGGGCTAGGTGAACTCTGGTCGGGATGGGGTTGAAGGAGGCGCCGGCCACAGCCGCTCCGGCCCCCGTCCGCCGCCACTGTCGCTCCGGCCCCCGTCCGCCGCCACCGTCGCTCCGGGCCCCGTCCGCCGCCACTGTCGATGATCTGGCCCCTGCTCCGGCCTTCGCCCGCCCGCCCGCCCTCCCGCCGCTGCCCGCCATCCCACTCTCGCAAACAGAGAGAGAGAGAAAGAGAGGGGGAGGATGAAGAAGGTAGATAAGAGAGGATGACATGTGGCCCCCACATGTCAGTGGGTCCCACAATATATTGTGTGTAAATGACCGATGGGTTCCACATATATTTTTTTAATTCGAATGCTACGTAAGCACCACGTGAGACGAAGGCTAGGCCAACATCGACACGTCAGCGCCACATCAGCAAAACCGTCCTCCAAAACCGCTGAGGGAGTCAAATTGCACTGGTTTTAATAGTTCGGGGAGTCGTCTTATCCGGTTTTGTAGTTGAGGGTCACGAATTAGATTCCGCCGAGAATTAAGGGAGTCAAAGTGAACTTTTTCCTTTGTTGAATAGGGTAGATAGGGTAGATTATGAGGAGAGACAAGGCCGTCCCATCCTGGTAGACTAACGAGTCGTCGGTATTTGTGGGCCTTGCATACGGCCTTCAGGCCCGTCTGCTCTATGAATCTAAATTGGAAAAAGTCCATTTTAATTCCCTTCAATATATGCCGAATATGATTCGCATCAATCGATCGTAGAACCGGGTACGTCGATACTTTCAACTTTTACCGTGTAAAATGACTCATTCAACTGTTTTAAGAGCGGTATTCAACTGTTTTAAGAGCGGTTTAGACTGACGTGACGTCCACGTGACAACCTGGTCATTAAATAAATTAAAAAATTGGGTCGTGTTTAGTTCGTGTGCCAATTTTTTTTTAAGTATACGGATACACATTTGAAAAATTAAACGTAGACTAATAACAAAACAAATTACAGATTTCGCCTATAAACTGCGAGACGAATTTATTAAGTCTATTTAATCCGTCATTAGCAAATGTTTACTATAGCATCACATTGTTAAATCAAGACGTAATTAGGCTCAAAAGATTTGTCTCATAATTTACATGTAAACTGTGTAATTGTTTTTTTTCACATTTAATGCTTCATACATGTGTATAAATATTTGACGTGATGGAATTTTTGGAAGTTTGAAGGGAACTAAATATTGCCTTAGTTTTTTTTCTAACGTGCCTTTGGATGGCTACGGGACGTTCGTTAGTTTGTATCCAACGGAGTATATTCAGTTCTCTACTTAAAAAATAATTTTTCATGGCGTCACCTATAATTTTCGCTGGCGGTTATACGTGAAAACCGCTACTAAAAATGTAACAAGGGGTGAGGGGTTACAGACCGCCAGCGAAAATCGGTTTTCACTGGCGGCCACGCTAAGAGGTCCGCCATTAAAAATTAAAAATAGCTTTATTTTCGCTGGCGGCTACTCTAAGAGGCCCGCCATAAAAAATTGGGTTTTCGCTGGCGGCCGATTTTCGCTGGCGGCAGCTAACTTGCACCTACTGTGAAAAAAATATTCCCTCTAGTAAAATCTCCTCCAATGTTATCCCTTCCCATTCACCTCTCCCATTCCTTCTCTTCCTCCTGCAGCCTCTCCACCTCCTGTCCTCCAGCCTCTCCTCCTCCTTCTCCTCCACCACCTCCTCCTCCTGTCGGCGTAGGAAACACAGCGGATTAGCGACGGTGACTACGGCGACCGGGAGGGGCCGGGAGGGGTGCCGTGATCCACGGCCGGGAAGGGCACGGGCGCAGGTGCAGGCGTGGCGGATCCGGCCACCGCAGAGCCGCGGGCGGCGGATCCGGCCGCCGGAGGACCGCGGGCGGCGGATCCGGCCGCCGGAGGGCCGCGGGGAGCGGATCCGGGCGCGGGCGGCGGCGCGCGGCTGATCCGGGCACGGGCGGCCGCTCTCGGACGCCGGCGGCGGTGCGCGGCGGATCCAGGCGCGGGCGGCGGCTATCAGGCGCTGGCGGGGAGGCTAGATCTGCCGCCGCCAGATCGGCGGCGCCTGGCTGGTGGTCACCGGGGAGCTGCATGCTAGCTGCAGAGAGGAGGCACGACCGCACGAGAGGATCCTCTCTTCAGTTCATGCGTTTTGTTCTGATCTGTTTGCACGTGGTGGGGTTCAACTGCTCATTATGTTTGACGTTTCTGGATCATCATTTTCTTCTGTTCACGTGCTCATTTTCTTCCTTCGAATTCCAGAAACCATTTCTGCAGCGGGCTGCGGTGGAGGCTGCGGCGGGGCTCTGTGCAGCGGCGGTGGAGGCCGGCGGGGCTCGGCAGCGGCGTCGTCGAGGCGGAGGCAGTGGAGGCTTGAATGCTTGAATTTTTTTATGCTTGAATGCTTGGGGGAATAGAAATTTTTGACTGTAAATTTAAATTGTGCTTGTGTGAATTGAATTTTTTGACTGTAATTTCTGCTTGGGTGAATGGAAATTTCTGTGGATTTTTGAATGGTGGAGCGTCGACGGAGGCAGACGGAGCGGTGTCGCTCCGTCTATTATTTTTTTTAAACTTGGCCACGATTAACACTGGCGGGTGACACAGTGTTACTCGTATTTTCGCTGGCTGGCCAGGGAAAATGTGTCTTTGCTGGCGGTTGGGCTTAAGACGACTGACAGCGAAAATAAATTATCGCTGGTGGCCAAAAACCGCTAGCGAAGATAGTGATTTTCATTGGTTTTTGTTTTTTGGCGGCTCAAAATTCTGTCAGCGAAAATCCAAAATGGCCGCTATGAAAGATGGTTTTCGTAGCAGTGGTTATACTACACACTGTAAGGCGTGTATAAATCTGTGAAAGGATAAAATTGGCAATAAATTAGATGTCACTAGAGTAAATTAGTAGGTCCAATCAACCTTAATCTAATAACGTTAGCACATATGGCCCGCCCTAAACTTTTGTTTGTGTCAAATCGAAGGCCATGCCAGTTCAGGTAGACGATTCATCGTCCGCCATGGACACTTAGGCCGTGTTTACTTCTTTGGCTAATTATTTTTAAAGTATACCGACACACATTTGAAATATTAAACGTAGACTAATAACAAAACAAATTATAGATTCCGCCTGTAAATTACGAGACGAATTTATCAAGCCTAATTAATCTGTCATTAGCAATTGTTTACCCTAGCATCACATTGTCAAGTCATGGTGCAATTATGCTTATAAAATTCGTCTCGTAATTTACATATAAATTGTGCAATTATTTTTTTTCGTCCACATTTAATACTCTATACATGTGTCTAAATATTTGATACGATATTTTTTGTCAATAATTTTTGGGATCTAAATACACCCAGATCTATGGATAGTTGCAAGTTGGGCAATTTGTCATTTATTTTATCAATATACACGCGATCTTCAGGAAGGCAAAGTGGTGCCCACCGGCCACCGTCCACTTCAGCACCATCCGGGAGTGACCATACGCGAGAAGCATGAAATCGGCCTTGCCAAGCGCTACGGAAGCGTGAAGCGCGCCTTATTAGCACGCGCCGCTTGCAGCCTCCTCTGTCCAGGGCTCCAGGTGTTCTACCGGACGCAGAATGCATCCAACCTAAGCTACCCAACACACCTGACGACTTGCTATAAGTATCCCCTTTACAGCCACTCCATAGCTCATCAAGCAGTTCGAACACTCCATTTGGTTGTCATTTTCAACTATAATCCACCACAACTCGTGCAACATCAGCTCACTCGTGTTCCCAACCGCGACAAAGCTTCACAGATGGAGGCTCAGAACCAAGAGGTCGCTGCCCTGGTCGAGAAGATCGCCGGCCTCCACGCCGCCATCTCCAAGCTGCCGTCGCTGAGCCCATCCGCCGAGGTGGACGCGCTCTTCACCGACCTCGTCACGGCGTGCGTCCCGGCGAGCCCCGTCGACGTGGCCAAGCTCGGCCCGGAGGCGCAGGCGATGCGGGAGGAGCTCATCCGCCTCTGCTCCGCCGCCGAGGGCCACCTCGAGGCGCACTACGCCGACATGCTCGCCGCCTTCGACAACCCGCTCGACCACCTCGCCCGCTTCCCGTACTACGGCAACTACGTCAACCTGAGCAAGCTGGAGTACGACCTCCTCGTCCGCTACGTCCCCGGCATTGCCCCCACCCGCGTCGCCTTCGTCGGGTCGGGCCCGCTGCCGTTCAGCTCCCTCGTGCTCGCCGCGCACCACCTGCCGGACGCGGTGTTCGACAACTACGACCGGTGCGGCGCGGCCAACGAGCGGGCGAGGAGGCTGTTCCGCGGCGCCGACGAGGGCCTCGGCGCGCGCATGGCGTTCCACACCGCCGACGTGGCGACCCTGACGGGGGAGCTCGGCGCGTACGACGTCGTGTTCCTGGCGGCGCTCGTGGGCATGGCGGCCGAGGAGAAGGCCGGGGTGATCGCGCACCTGGGCGCGCACATGGCGGACGGCGCGGCGCTCGTCGTGCGGAGCGCGCACGGGGCGCGCGGGTTCCTGTACCCGATCGTCGATCCCGAGGACGTCAGGCGTGGCGGGTTCGACGTTCTGGCGGTGTGCCACCCGGAGGACGAGGTGATCAACTCCGTCATCGTCGCCCGCAAGGTCGGTGCCGCCGCCGCCGCCGCCGCGGCGCGCAGAGACGAGCTCGCGGACTCGCGCGGCGTGGTTCTGCCGGTGGTCGGGCCGCCGTCCACGTGCTGCAAGGTGGAGGCGAGCGCGGTTGAGAAGGCAGAAGAGTTTGCCGCCAACAAGGAGCTGTCCGTCTAACAGCCGGACGATCGAAAGGCGCACTATATTATGGCAATAAATCATTTGATTATACTTATGCTGCATTTGCGAAGCTAAGGTATACTATGCAAGCCATATGTTTGTGTTCGTACGTGTTGTTTGGGACGTACAGTTGTGTTGTTGTACGTCGTGAAGTACTGAAGTGTTCACAGTAGATCACAAGTTCACAGCAATCAATGAGGACCCTGTAAGCCAGTGTAAACGAGGAACATGCCATCTGTGTATGACAGTGAGAAATTATATAAGAAAAACATTTTGTGACAAAAGTAATCAGGGCTACCTTTTTAAAGTGCTGTTCTGGCAGCCCTTCGCTTTTTCTTTGGATTTTTAGAGTGTTCATTTATCTTGTGCTGAAAATAAATGGTGTAGCAAAAGGTACAGATTTAAAATAGGAAAAATAATATATTTTACTCCCTCAAACTATTTCACCGGAGCACTTAGCCTCCTAAATTATTTTTTTTGGCTCATTTTACATCCCGAACTACTGAAAACGATATACCTTATCCCTTACATTGTTTCTCTTTGTGTAAGTCAAATTTTCCACTAACGTTTTTGTAGGATGATATATGAATTACAACTATCGTCTCAACATTTTTATAATTTTTTTCTCACTGTTTACATAGGATGAAAACACCTAAAACTAATTTTATCATCAACATTTTAAAGTTCAATTAAATAGTAATGAAAAAAATTGATTTTTTTTTGAACTTAGATAATGGCGTCATCTATGATTGTAAAAATTTTCAGCTTAGAATACAACTTGTATAAAGCGTAACATAAATAAAAATATTACTATTAGGTAATAAAGTAAACTATTTTCAATAGTTTAGGTTTAAAATGAGGAAAAAAAATAGTTTAAGGGTTAAGTAATCCCATGAATTAGTTCGGGGGAGTAAGGTGGATTTTCTTTTTATTTAAAAGTCTGACGCCAACGATGTCGAGTGGCGCTGAGACGACGCGGCGCTGCAGATTGCCTTGGTGACACGTTATTTAGCTAACCAGTGCATGCAATGTTGTATAGTAAATTCTCTAAAAATATTTATATGTCAGAAGTATGCAAAAAGTTCCCACATATTAATGACAAAAGGGGATTATATCTTTGAGCTCCTTTAGAGCACAAGATTAAAAAAAACTAGGAATATGATAGAGATTGGTGTGTAAATCAGAGGATTAAAATACAGAGAAATTTTATCGAATAGAAGTATGTGTTTGGATAGAGCATAGGAAAAACATAGAATTCTTTGTAAGCTTTCGGGCAAAGGAAACCGAAAGGAGAGCTCGGAGTGGATTGTTATTGTCCTGTGGAATCAGTAGCTTAGGAAATGTTCTTTGGTTTTCCGTTGTTTTCCCAATGAGCAATTTTTCTGATCCAAAGGACACTATAGTAACTTAATTCATAGAAATACAAATCCTCTAATTTTTTATTCCCTTTGTTTTTCCTCCGATCAAAGGAGGCAGGGAGCTCTCCCAAAAAGAGGAATATCTATACCATTAACTAACGAGGGTCCATATTATATATAGAAAATCCAATTTATTTTTTTCAATGGGTAACAGTCTATCTTCACTGTGCGTGAAATTCGGGTAGTTTTAATTAGAGTAAATTTCACAAAACTATTGATACTTTTACTACAAATATTTAAGATGGTATATCAAAAATTTAGTAACAAAGTTATAGAAAAAATACAAATTAATGCCAATATAGCATTAGTGCAAAGAATTTAAAATCTAAAAAATATATTTTGTAAAAGCTTTTTATACTATTTTTTATGATGCTCTGTTTTAAATATGTAGCTTCGTGATAAATTTGATGTTAAATAGTTTCATGATGTACCGCCTTAAATCTCTAGCTTTGAATAGTTTGATAGTTTTGTAAAATTTATTTACAAAAATTATGGGTCTTGAAGTGGTACCACACGGGTACCTACTCAAGACTGTCGTGATCGAAGTTCACGTAGATAACCCTTTTACATTATTATTTCAGACGGTGACAAACACCTCTTGCTTTCTCAGCACCTTACTCGTCGTTGTCCCCTAGAGTTGCACCGAAACACGGAATGCATTGGCACGGATCAATGCCCAGGCGCCTAGCATCATCCACACAACAAGAACAAGAACCCCACAGAAGCACAAACACAAACCGATACCAATAATGTTTCAGCCGGCCGATGTCACGGACAGCGAGACACAGCCAGGATTACTATGCACGCACTCAGACGGATAGCCTCTTGGCGGCGAACTCTTCCGCCTTCTGGAACGCGCCGGCGGCCGCCTCCATCTTGCAGCACTTGCACGGCGGGCTCACCACTGGAACCGCGCCGCGTGCGCCGGCGAGCCCGCCGCCGCGACGCGGGTCGGCCTTGCGAGCGACGATGACGGAGTTGATCACCTCGTCGTCGGGGTGGTACACGGCCAGCACGTCGAACCCGCCCCGCCGGATGTCCTCGAGATCGACGATCGGGTACAGGAACCCGCGCGCCCCGTGCGCGCTCCGCACGACGAGCGCCGCGCCGTCCGCCATGTGCGCGCCCAGGTGCGCGATCACCCCGGCCTTCTCCTCGGCCGCCATGCCCACGAGCGCCGCCAGGAACACGACGTCGTACGCGCCGAGCTCCCCCGTCAGGGTCGCCACGTCGGCGGTGTGGAACGCCATGCGCGCGCCGAGGCCCTCGTCGGCGCCGCGGAACAGCCTCCTCGCCCGCTCGTTGGCCGCGCCGCACCGGTCGTAGTTGTCGAACACCGCGTCCGGCAGGTGGTGCGCGGCGAGCACGAGGGAGCTGAACGGCAGCGGGCCCGACCCGACGAAGGCGACGCGGGTGGGGGCAATGCCGGGGACGTAGCGGACGAGGAGGTCGTACTCCAGCTTGCTCAGGTTGACGTAGTTGCCGTAGTACGGGAAGCGGGCGAGGTGGTCGAGCGGGTTGTCGAAGGCGGCGAGCATGTCGGCGTAGTGCGCCTCGAGGTGGCCCTCGGCGGCGGAGCAGAGGCGGATGAGCTCCTCCCGCATCGCCTGCGCCTCCGGGCCGAGCTTGGCCACGTCGACGGGGCTCGCCGGGACGCACGCCGTGACGAGGTCGGTGAAGAGCGCGTCCACCTCGGCGGATGGGCTCAGCGACGGCAGCTTGGAGATGGCGGCGTGGAGGCCGGCGATCTTCTCGACCAGGGCAGCGACCTCTTGGTTCTGAGCCTCCATCTGTGAAGCTTTGTCGCGGTTGGGAACACGAGCTGATCAGCTAATGTTGCACGAGCACTTGAGCTGTCAGTGGAAAACGGCAAGCTTGTGGAATGCTTGAGCTGCTTGATGAGCTTTGAAATGGGAAAGAATGGGGCAATATATAGCAGGAGAATTGCCTCAAAGATTGGCTAAAAGCGTAGTCGAAGAATGTGGAACGCATTATGCATGCATGGAAAATTGGCAACCTTCTTCATGCGTGCATACCCAATGAGGCTTGTTTCATGCCTCTGCGCACCCCTGGCTGGTGTTGAAGAGGACGACATTTTCCTTTGCTTATTTTGTCTTCTTTAGATCGCATATGCTTTTTAAAAAAAAAAATCTTATGATTGTGCTAGATGTTTGTGAAACGTGATCGATTTATCCCGGGCCCCGGTTTAGAAGCTAAAATCTTGCAAGGTTTGGGATTGCAACGGTAAGTGAATTGGATTCATGTGGGTAGGCAATGGTGAGTGGTTAGATTTAAATTTCCATGATCTTTTTCACCTTTTACAGTAGTTTGATCCGATTAGCTAAAACAAGGTTTGAAGAAATTGAAGAGATCATACTTCCATGCCCCCAATGAACGAGAGGTGAGCTTCTATTAATAAGTTGTAAGACCATCTTCCCTACAATTCTACATACCGGCCAAAAATGATTGTTTGTCAATATGGTATGATCCATTATTAATTATGTTGCTGTCAAACAATAGCACACTGCATACTGATGCAAGCATAAAGCTGACTAACAAGTTCAAGACAAGTGGATCCATCGTCTATAGTCCTAGTAGGCACTAGTTTATATATACTTGGACAGACTACAGAGCCATTATTAGGTGAGAATATTTTTAGATTTAACTGGTTTCTATACCAACAGAAAACAATTGAGTAAAATCAATCAGGGTGCAATATCCATCATCAATAAGGCCTTTCCATCACTGGAATGGCAACCTTCAGCAAAAATCCAATCGAATACTCCATAATGTAGTGACTCCTTGCCACTTGCAGCAAGAAGAACCAGTTCTGGTTCAAGCACAAAACTGCATTTATGATCCTTTCAGGCTTGTACAAACTGTCCAATGATGAGCTCACAAACAGCCAACCGAAACCACTTCATCTGTGTGAATTCAAGAGAATATGTCAGTCATTTTCTTGGTTAAAGCATCAATGTTTATATAGAGTATTGGACAAAAAAAAACAGGGTTCACATAGCCAAAGCAAGGCGATATTCTGAAGACTGATGCAGCATAAATAAAGTATAAAACAGAAGAGAGTATAGAATGAATTCTCATTATAACAGTATCAAAACGATTTTTGCTATTTCTAAGTTGCCTAATTTTTCTGTCTTTGGCCTCGGTATACGGATTGATTTCTCATTTCAATCCAATAATTTAGAAAATTAACTTATATCGTGAAAACTCATTTTCCCATCTTCAATAGCTATCCTGTTATTAAATAATATTATTCATCACCACCAAAATGTTAGGCTGCTACTAGATCAGATGGCATACATTTCTGCTGCTTAAGACAGCACTGTTCCACCTCTGCTTCATGAGAAAACACCAGGATAGGTAAAGAGCCACAGTAAGCAACAAATAATTGTATTCTCTCCCATGAGAAAAGCGGAAATAAAAGAGAAGTTACCACAGAAGCGATCTTTGCATTGATGAGAACCCCTCGGCCTCAGGACCTTCACATGGTGCTCCACCACCACTAGCGGACACTGTCTTGTTTTCGGTGTCAGCTACTGAATCTGAATCGGTTTTACTACTACCGCTTAAGCAGTACTTCTGCAGCCATCTATCAGTCTCCCACAGAACATGCATGATGCTCTCCCTCGCAGAATACCCATGGCTTTCAAAAGGGAGTATCACCAAACGAGATAGTGCGCCATGGCCTTTCAAGGCATTGAAGAATCGGTCTGACTGTAAGAAAAATATCACTGATATAATTAGATAATATTAAACCATTAGCCAAACACTGGAATCATAATCTACGAATGATCCACTAACAATGAAGTAAGACGGTATCCTGGATAGAGATGATGTGAAGAGGTCATTCCAGGGGTTGCTAGACCAGAAAATTCGTACCACAATAACCATGTAAGCACTAAGGTGCTGAAAAACAGTCGACCTAATTTCATATATGCAAAATTACGGCCCTGCTACAGTGCATGTTTAGTACTCCCTCCGTCCCAGAATATAAGAAGTTTTAGAGTTGGACACGGTTATTAAGAAAGTAGGTAGAAGTAAATGGTAGAGGGTTGTGATTGGATGAGTAGTGGAGGTAGGTGGGAAAAGTGAATGGTGGAGGGTTGTGATTGGTTGGGAAGAGAATGTTGATGGAGAAGTTGTTATATTTTGGGACAAATCTTGAGAGCTAAAAGTTGTTATATTTTGGGTCGGAGGGAGTATTTGCATTTTCTAATTCTATCATACTATTGTAAAGGTTTTGGATGCTTGTAATACTTTCAAATGGGATACTAATACATTTACTAAGATAAACTATGTACATGCATAAATAATTTTTGGGGGCAGAACTGTAAAAAGTCCAAACTTCTGAGGGGCAAAATATTAAAGGTGACACAACTCTTCTGCAGATCTAGGTAATATGTTTTACCGCATAAGAGTAAATCAGTTACATGGGACTTTACCTGCATCGTAAGTGTTCCAGAGTTGTTGTCCTGCTCTCCATGAATAAGCAAAATTGGTTTCTTGATCTTGTTGGCCGACATGAAAGGGCTCATCTCGACATAGGTGTTAGTCGCCTCCCATAGAGTTCTGTCCTCATTCTACAGAAAATGCAAGTTGTTAATAAGGGCTGAGACTATGCACCAAACAAGCAGCTACCTATGCAGAATTCCTGTGTTACCTGAAACCCAAATGGTGTCAGTGTCCTGTTGTAAGCTCCAGAACGAGCAATCCCACAGCAGAAAAGGTGAGGAGCATGAGCTAAAAGGTTTGCAGTCATGAATGCACCATATGAATGACCACCAACAGCAATTTTATCAGGGTGAGCCACCTAAAGAACAGTGAAAATAAAGCTCAATCTTCAAAAGCACTGCCCATGATGGATGAACAAATTATGCATATTTACAAATATAAAGGTTTCATGTATGAACTTTGCAGAAACTATATAGAAGTTACTAATGGGTGGGCCGTGGGCCTTGTGCCACTCTTACAAACTAGTTCATGAATAACATGGGGAAAAAATCAAAGATACTATATGTATGAAGGGCTCCATGAACAAAGGTAGAAAAGCTCACCCCTCTCCTAACAACTTCCTCAGCTGCAGCCTCAGCACTAGTTACTAGCTGCTCCACGTACCTACAAGGTAGTTTGCAATACTAAAATAATAAATACCATGGTACAACTGTAGCATAGATTGGAAGTTTCTAACCACAAAAGAATGGAGTTAAGTATAAAAAACAAACCTGTCATTGGCCTCTTCATCGCCTTCTCCAATAATCGGGATGGTTGGACCTGATAAAATAGCAAACCTGGCAACGGAAGTGATGACTTGTTAAGTGACAACACGCAACAGAAACAAAAAATAATAATTTTGTGATAAATGCATCAACAATTTGAAGGTGAGAAGAAGATGTTGTCCTTGAGAAACAGCAGTAGGAAATGTGGTATGCATATTCTTGAATAGAACGAAAAATAATACCCTCTAGCCAACCAAAGCAGTGGGGATGTAGCACCAATCCCTGGAAACTCATTAGGTGAGCCACGCACTTGTCCAGCAGCATCCTTGCTTTTAAACTCACCAGGGTAGGACCAAACTAAACATGGCAAAGGTCCATCCTGTGAAGGATCATAGCCTGGGGGCAGGTACAATGTAGCTGTTAGTTGAACCCCATCCTTCCGTTGGTATCTTATCATCTCCTTATACAATGAAGCAAGCTGAGGATATGGATGGGGAAAATCTGTGATCTGAACTTGCTTCTTTTCTGGCCAAATTTGCAGGTAATACTGTGTGTTTTCTGTTTTTGATTCTTTTGATGTAAGTATCTTTAACTTCTCAAGTGGCAGTTCCCCATCAGTTTTGTCCGACATAAGTGCAACAACAGTTTCATAGTACTTTTCCTTGTCACTTTGCCATATCCTCTCTTTACTTCCAGTATTTCTGCAATAACAAAGGTGTCAACTAGGATCGGGCACATATTGTTCAAACATATACTTATAAGGCATATAACTATTGATGGATATAGACATACATATCAAACAAATCAAGGAACGGAACATTTCCTTCTGGTGTGGCACCCATCCCATTCAGCAAGATGTAGGTATTTTCATCTTGCTTCTTAACTTTTGCAATAACATATGTCCCCATGGCAGTTCTTCGTAGCATTGGTGAGCCAGGATCAGAATATACATCTTCAGAAGATCTATCGAATAAGATGCGTGGACTGACATCTTTTTTATCTGGGGAGATAACCCATGTTCTTGTTTTCCGTGTTTTGTACCAAGATTCATACACTAATGCAAGAGATTCATCACACCAAGAGGTCCCTCTGCATCAACAGAATATAACAGGAGATTAATTATCTGATAGAGTTAGTTAAGAAGGCAAATAAATCGTCACAAAGGATTAGCATAACTAACATTCTAAAAGGAAGTGTCATTTAATCATATCTGAGCACCAAATATAGATAATTTTGATGTAAGAGACTTATACTATATATATGGTTTATTGGTAGGAAGCTTTGTATTAATGTCCTTGTTTATGGGAAGTTTCCTACCAGTAGTATTGAACTATGCCAGATGCAGAAAGCTTAACCATGATGCAAATGCAGTGAACATAATTTACTGATCCTACTAAAGTAGGCTAACACATCGCTCAAAATACATACGCATATCGGAGGTCAAGTTTATGCAGAATCTCTGGTTGTTCACCATTTATAGGCTCAGCATTTTCCATGTAAACTATGTCACGAGGTGACACCTCTACTTTTGCATCTCCACCATCCTGTGTCTCCACCCTGACAAAAACAAAAATATATAAACTATTTTGCATGCACCACTTAATTATATGATACTTTTGCCTGGCAATTCATTTAGATAGAATTAGGAGTAGCTAAGCCAAGTAGGAAAATGAACTCTTTCTATATGCTAATAATATGTTAGTAGCATAGAAACAATCAGGATGGAATACCAATCTCTACTAGTTAAAAGAAATTGCTATGGTAATGGTGCTGATGCACTCTATGCATCCTCAGTTCCAAGGTTTTTACCCTTCTAGCACCTGCAAAGATACACTGGTTTTGCTTGGAAATTGTTCTTATTCTGATACGCATTTGTTTTTATTTTGCTTGGGAACTGTTCTTATTCTAATACACATTCTTTTTTATTTTCTCAGAGTTTTTTTTTTTCAAACAAGGTGAAATAGAACATTACCATGTCTATTTACATCAAATAACATTTTTCAGTAAAACCAATAGAGTAAAAGTTGTAACATTCAAAGCTTCGAAACCCACATACTAAATAATAGTCCCAACAAAAGGGCAAATAAAAAATTTACAGCTGCGATAAAAGTTTGCATTATTGTCTCATGTAACCTTAAGTTCTCAACCTGCTATCCTCTTGATGAAAGGATAGACTCTAAGGAACAATCCAAGCAACTAGTGTCTGATCAGATTGGATGGGCCTCCTTCCAGATCTGCTCCTATTTTGATATGTATCTACTCCTTCGCTTATTATTACTTAATTCAATTGAACGCTACTATCACTTGTACAAACACAAATAGAACGGTTTAAGTTTGAAACAACCACATAATACACAATTTAGGATGTCTGAGACATGAAAGCTACTTTTTGGCATATGGGAATTAAATTGTCTGATGAATGTTATTTTTTCAGATGTGAATTAATGGTGTGGTCTGTGTTAAATTTGTTTTCAGATGTGGATTTCATGCATACATAAATTAGTAGCTAGCCTGAACTGAAAATATTGTCTGTCAGTAAAAAAAAAAAAACTGCACTTAAAAAAACTGATGATTGAAATTCTGTTCTACATACCAGTACAGCATCGCAGGTTTATCTGGCCTCCAGTAGATTGAACGCTTTCCCTTGCGGACACTGCTTGTTGCTATTGGAATGTCCTCAGCAAGGGGCAAATCACAAAGTTCCCTAATGAATTCTCCATCTACAGTCCATAATTCAACTTTCTTCGGAAACCTTCCACAAGGTACAATATAGGAATATGGACGGTGAATAGAAGAAATCATTAAGTATTTGTCATCTGGTGATGGGTCAATAGATGTATATACAGCAGGAGGGCCAATTGGCTTTACTGTTCCATCAAAAGAGGCCAATACAAGCTGCGAGGTCGCATAATAATCAAACAGATCGGCATCATATTCATCTTTCAAAAGATCCTGGAAAGTTCTCACTTGGACCACATTTGATGTCTCATTGGACTGAATTTTCGGACCAGATGGAACTGAGGGCTTCTGCGGTGGAGCTCCACGTGACAGAGGGATAGTGCAGACAAGCAAAGTAGAATTGTTAACCCATACAAAGCTGCAACAGCAAAACAAAAGTTCTTTAGAAGTAGGACAGGAGAAAACAGCAGAAATTGATATTCAATTTCACCTGTCAAAAATAGCATTTAAGTATATCTCAGGAGATTTAAAAAGTGGTCTTGCTTCTCCAGATTCCACATCTGCAATCCACAAACGTAGCTTGCCGCTTGTGTTGTCCTCCTAATTGAATCCACACTAGAGTTCATTATATCTAATCATTTGAACAAATCACATCCATTTTTCAAAGGCAGCCAACCAATTACCTCATCAACTCTAACGCTGAATGATAAATGGCGTCCGTCTTGTGACCTAGGTCAAATGGTTCAGTGCATAGAGTTAGGAATAAAGTAATCCATAATACAAGTAAAAATCATTTCTGAAACAGCTAAAACTGGAAGCAAGGCAATTAAGAACCAGAAAAAAAAATCCTTGAAGTTCCTTGATGGAAGGTCCAGAAAATTACCAGGTGACAAAATTAATCCTTGCGCCTTCAGGATATCCATGGACCACTTTCTCTGGACCCAAAGTCCCATCATCCATCAGCTTATGGATACCTATTCCAGTGTAGAAAGACCTACAAATTATGTATATCAGATTTCCAATCATAACATGTCTTGGACATAGTACTAAACTTGTCACAGATAAAAACGATTAGTTAGACAATGAAAATTTACCCAAATTATTTATTGTACTTACATTCTGCTTCTAGTATTAGAATAGCCATCAATTCTCACACCAGCAAGTTTCTCTTCAGGCTTTGCGAGATCCGACAATGGTGGCAGTGCTCGGCGCTTCAGGAATAAAATCTTGTCCTTGCTTGGCGAGAATGATAGCACGGGTAGCGGTGGTGCATCAACGATGTCTTGTATTTCTTTTGGAGGAAGGCGGTAGCCCATCATCGCTGATGAAAGGTCTGCAGAGCAATTAAATGCATCAATTGTTGGCTGTACCACTGGTCTACATTATCTTTTCTCGTTGACAAAAAAGCCAGGACAGAATCTGCTCATACAGAAATTAAAATAGATGTTCACCAGGCATATACGTTAACTATGTCAACTAAGACAATCTATCATTGAACAAGCCAAGCAAGACAAACTAACCTATATGCAGCTCTAACAGGTCTGTCAAACCTAAAAAAATAAGATGCCAATCAACTTCTTTTGATCTTTTTGAAACATGAGAAGCTAAGCGCTATGGCCTTCACCAATCTATCTAGCGTTAAACTCATACCACGAACAAAACCTAAACAAATTTGAAGCACTCAAAATCACCACTAAAAAAATCCACGATCTCTTCACGAACCGATCCCCTAACCAAAGACTAGTGCTCCAATCTCGTCTCCATCAAAACCACTCAAAATCCGCTCAACCCACAGCCTCCCCGCGATTCCACTCACTACAAAAGCAAAAAAAGATCACGCAATCAACGAAGTCAGCACGAACCATCGTCCTCTTGGGCAAGACCGGACGCTGCAGCCGCCGCCGCCGGCGGCTCGCTGGACTCCCCGGCCGCACCACCGGCGGCGGCGACGATGTGGGACAGCCTTGACGCCGCGGAGGAGGACATGGCGCTCCGGCGAGGCAGGCCGAGAGGGCGGCGAGGAGGACGAAGAGGAGCACGCAGAGGCGGGACTGGGAGCAGAGCGAAGCGGAGGCACGCCCTCTGGAGGAGGATGGTGAGGGAAGACATGATTTTTAGGTCTCTACCTTTCTTCTATAGATAGCATTACAATAGTGGGGATGGTGGGTACTCGTGGTCGTGGGATTGATGGAACCGGGAAAAAGATATTTCTGCTGTTTTGATATATTCAACTGATTTTCTTTCTATGCTTGAAAATTGAATTTCGAGTATAAAAGTTTTTTTTTTTGGCTTTTGTCGCAAACATAGATGATGTACTCCATCCGTCTCGTAATATAATAATCTATGATAGGATGGGATATTTCATAGTCGAATGAACGTAGACAGGAGGCAGGTACAGATTTGTTGTACTATGAATCGTTTTGTTATATTATGGGATGGATGGATTATTACTAGTAGTAGTTTTAAATTTCAAATAATTTTGGTTTCTTATTGGCCTAAATTTTGACACTTTTATTGAGTGTGATGTAAAATTTAAGTGTGTCAATGAATGTACGCCGAATTAGTACTCCCTTCGTCCTCTGAAAAACAAATCTAGAACTGGATATGAATCTGGATAGAGATATGTTTAGATTGATAGTACATGGAAGAGCTATTTGGCAAAGTCTCAGAGCCCCTGTGAATCGCAGGGTAGAAAAAACGGAGTAATAGGAAAAACACAGGATTCTGACAGGAATTGAAGTGTAAAACAGAGGATTGCAAAACACAGGAATGGTCGTTTGATTGGAGCGCAGAAAAAATACACGAATCGGATGAGAGAGATAGACTCAAAGAAAATTTTCCAAGAGGTTGGAGCTCTTGCTAAATTTCCTCCAAAATCCACATGCAATGTGTCATTCCATAGGAATTTCATAGGATTTGGAAAGCTACAATCATTTGAATCAAAGGGCCAAATAGAAAAATTTTCTATGAAATTTCTATATAAATTCTTTGATTCAAAGTTGACCCTCGTAATGGATCTATCAGACATGGTCTATTTATCTCTTCGATGAGGGTCATGGAGAGGATACCGATGTATTTGGCAGCTAGCGTGTGAGACATTTCAGACTGTTTATGTGGCGATATCGCACTGCCGCCTGAGCAATTACCGGATGACTGGCTAGAAGATCCCCGTTTATTTTTCTCCCCTGCTTTATTCGCATTCCACTACAGATCGTCCAGTCCTAGTGCGTGTGTTTCTGGAACGCGACCTGCAACGAACCGCCCGCCGTTAGCAAAGCTTGAAGGCTTGAAGTCTGTCCAGCTTTCAGGTACTAGTACAGTTTTTATCCGTCCCTGTCCCTGCCATATAGTAGAACAATATCTTGTCAGATTATCTGAAATCTAAACGAGTCTAGAAGGCTGAGATCTAAACTTCAACTGCAAACTATAACTTCCTCGTTTTTCATTAGCATGTTTTCTGATACATTTTGTGTAAAAGAAAAATGTATACAAGTGTTTAATTTTGCATATTTATAACAATTAATTTATAATTAACCATGCGCTAATGAATCACCATGTTTTGTGTTTTGTGTGCTGCAAATATACTACTCCAATATAAAGTTTCAAACAGGCCTAAAACTTCATATTGATGGTAAAAAAAATGGAACCAGCTGAGGAGTGAGGACTGGAGCTCAGAAAGTCACAATTCTGCTGCTCTAATCAAAATCTTCAGTAACTGAGAAGTCAAAAAAAAAATCTTCAGTAACTGAAATGCTTGGCATTTGCTCAACTTTGTCAAATTGGAAACTATCTTTGAAGTGGAACAGGAATACATAAACAGGAAACAAACGTTGGAGACATATGCTCCCTAAAACATATCTGAATATGATATACATCCCTATGTTATTCTGTAGACGTTCAACATCACTGCTATCTTTTTACCATTTGGCAGGACCGCAAGGGTTTTTATATACAGTGGCTGAAACAAGAATTACATAGAAGAATCATATCCTCACTTAAAAATACCAAAAAAAAACCTAAACGTGTTACTCAAAAGGAGACATGCTATGCTAGTATCAAAGTTTGCAGTCTCAGAACAAACTGAACCCCTGCGATTCCTCCTGATTCTCTTCTGATGTCTCATAATATGTTGGCTCCTCTCTTTCCCCACTTCTATAACTATATGCATACTCTGTACTCTCTTTTGAATAATATGCTGATGCTTCATACTCTGGCTTGACAAACTGAAGCATATACTTCAAGCCATTTATGACATCGTAAATCATCAATCCAATTCTTCCACCAACCCAACTGCCCAGATGGCTTCCTGTAAGATAACCAAACCTCCCCAGCCTCTCCTCACCATGGAACCCACCTACATAGGTTCCAAATAGGGTGCCGGTACCTCGGAGAAAACCTTCAGTCATGCTTCCACCGAAGTACATGGCTTCAAAGAAGTCCCAACCAGAAGAAATTATCGGCCCCAATATCCTCTTGGCTTGACGAGCTGCCACTTTTGCGGCTTTCGCACCAACCTTCTGAGCTTGCTTTGCTGCCTCAGCGGCAGACAGGCCTTCTGTCACAGCATCAGCCAATGCTTTCTCAATGGCCCGGTGCCTCACCCTTTCCGTATGTGCAGTTTGGAGGTTGTAGACATACAACTTGATGCCCTCCTTCACTGCGCACGCAAGGCTGCCTGAGCCCATATCAAAACAGTTCATGAACGTAAACTGTCCACTCTTTGATGCTTCCTCCTTCCCGACAAGTTCCCTGAACTTCTCAGCTGTAAAATGCAAATTTTCAGAGTTCAAAAAAAAAAAATCAAAACATCAACAGCTAACAGCTATCAACATAGAACTACTACTAATTTTTTTCATGTTCTTATCCTGGTGTACCCACTTATCACAAGCTGTGTTTTCAAGTCGTCCGATTAGTCGTCCTTATAGCTACCCTGACCTCGATCAGGAACTTCGAAGTGATTAGTTCGACCAGAAAACTTATTGTCCGACTAATCACGACTAGTCACGATTAGTCGATCAAATTAGTCGTGGACGACTAGTCTGTTAGGGCTAAAAATATGTGTTAGACTTTACACTTCAGTGGCAGGCCTTTTGCCCAGCCCAAGAAGGCCTTTACCCCTCATCTAACCGACTAACCCTGACCAGACATCTAGATCTAGTCACGAGAGAGAGGGGAGAAAAGATGAAGGACTTATTGCAACTAGGACAGGTAAATGATTTAACTTTTAAGACCTTAAGTCAAGTGTGAACTGTCAACTGTGAAAATCTGATTATCCTTAGTTTGTACTATACTATACTAGTATACTATGGTAATTCGTACTTATAATCATCTATATATTATCCTGGGCACCCCTAGCCTATAGTCACCGACTAATCTCAACTAGTCGGTGCCCTTACGACTAGTCCCGACTAGACGACTTGAAATCACTGATCACAAGATCAAGGGATTGGTTGGCAGGGCTCCCAACTTAGCTTCTTAACAAGACTTCACCATTAAAAATTGATATATAACACATGGATTTAGTATTTAAACTATGAAAAAGAAGAACTTGATATATGATGAAATGTCTGCAAAGTGTGCACCATAAGATCATAACACACGTACACGGTTGCCAACCAGAATTTACAAGGTAGGCAAAATACACCTAACAATCATAATTGGTTCAGCTGATAGACAATTTTAAGAATATAACTGAATATATTGGCAGTTGGCATCCCCAGTTCGTCACAGTGGTAATATTCTAACCTTCAATACCAAGATTATATACTTGTACTGCTTGTTCAATGTTCCACCCATCCTTCCTATCTTAATTACATTGAATGACCTCCTTCGGTCATTCCAGCAAAAACATCCGTACGCATTAATAATTAAATAATTATACCAATTTAGTACCAATTTCAACCAAATTTACGCCTTCCTAAATTATGGCCAAAAGAATTATGAAAACAAGGACTACATTGGCAGAGCATCTTTTTAATAGGCACTCAAAGTTCGGGCTGAGGACTCTATCCTAGCTGGACCAAATGAACTAGGCTCGACCTAAGGGCACGATAATTATTAGTTTTTGTTTACCTCTAATTCGAAATTAATACAGGTACCAATCATTTTCAGTTGACTACCTTATTCTGCAATCTCCACAACTACAATGACGTCATTAGTTTTGCAAACGAGACGGTAAGAAAACCATATCATTTGGAGTGCCTCCTAAAGCTATGGCCTTCACTCTTCGAAGCAATTACCAATCGCCCAAAAGCCCATCACTAAAATTCTCTCCACTCAAAAAAATCAACCAAACAACACCCAATCCTGCTTGACAAGAACAGCGCCCTCCTTGTCCCACCCAACAACAATACGCGAATTACAGGATGAAACGAAAAAAGCAGACATGGAAATTGCACATCAGGACGTCCCCAATCGACGATTAACCTACTCTCCACGAGGCCGTACAAATCCACAGATCAAGAACGGGAACTAACCGGTCATGCTGAGCGCGAGGACGCCCACGATGAACAGCAGCAGCTGGACGCGTCGCTTCTGGATGTCCAGCATCTTCGCCCTCCTCCTACGCCCCTTGCCTCAGACGCTGCGGAGATCGATTGCCCTCGCGGATCGCATCCACCGGAGGAGGAGGAGGAGGAGGGAGGAAGGGAAAAAAGAAAGAATAAATAAAAAAGAATGGTCGCAGCGTCAACTCCGCGGTTGCCGCGTGTTACTCTAGAAACGAAGAAGACGATGCGCGTCCAGCTCACTGGCACGTGGGGTCGTGGGCCCCAGATGTAGGAAAAGCTTGGAGGACTGCGACGTCACGGGGCTAAAAGCTCGAGGGCCTAAGTGAAAAAACTTCGGGGTATTGAGCTGATCAGCTGAACAGAACTGCCCCCAAGACTTGTGGAGTTGTAGCGAAGCTGCAAGAGTGACGCGGCGGCGGCGATGGACGGCGGCGGGGTCGAGGCGGCGATGGACGGCGGCGGGGTCGAGGCGGCGACGACGGCGGCGTGGATGGCGCGGCACCGGGGGATGTACGAGCGGGCCACGAGGCACCCGTTCACCGTCTCCATCCGCGACGGCACCGTCGACCTGTCCGCCTTCAGACGCTGGCTGGTCAGTTCCTCCTCTCGGTCTCCAAAATTCCCCCATCGCTTATTAGGCAGACAAAAGATCTATTGTAATTCTCGTAGAAATATCAAAGTTCTAAATGGTCTGAAGTGACACCGTTCAATTGTTCCTTCTGGTTAGCAAAAGTCCTAGTTGGTATTAGCTGATTAGCCAAGATTGGAAGGGAGGCACGATGAAGGTTCATTGTTAGAATTTGCAGTAAAAACTGTGAGCTGCGAGAACATTGTTGGATTCAGTAATTGACCCTATTGTGTTATCTTGAGTGTTGGATACTTAGAAGATGTTGGTACCTGGCCAGTCCAGTAATAGCTTCAGGCCCTAGCATTTCTTTCAATTATGAGCATCTGACTCATTCTTAATATTGTATGAAAAATGAAAAAAAAAAGCTTTATTCCAACGACTGAACAAAAAAACAAATAGATAAAGGTGGTTCCTAAATGGGGGAACATATCCTATGCACACTCACTTCCCATGCACATCAACTAATAAATATCACGGAAAATTTTAGAAAAAAACTGATATGTACTCTTAATAGTATTACACGTATCTACAAAATCTTATATTCAAATTGATTATATTTTAACTGTAACAAAAAGGTGAAAAATCTAACAGTTTTAAGAGTAAAAATCTATCAGAATTTTGTCTTTTTTACGACTAAAATATAATGAATTTGAACATAATATTTCATAGATAGGTGTAATACTATTTAAAGTATGTGTCCAATTTTTTCTATAATTTTTTGGACATTTGTTAGTTAGTGTGTACGGAAAACTTGTGTGCATAGGATATGTTCCCAATGGATGAACGGAATACAATAATCACATTTTCATGCCTTACTCAGGGCCAGGACTACATGTTTGTGAAGGAATTTGTTGCGTTTCTAGCTAGTGTACTGCTCAAGTGTTGCAGACAGTCAGATGGCTCGGACATGGAAATAATACTCGGTGGCTTAGCTTCCCTTAGTGATGAGCTCTCTTGGTTCAAGAAGGAAGCTGAAAAATGGAGTGTTAATCTAGCTGAAGTTTCTCCTCTGAAATCCAATACAGAATACTGCAGGTTCACGCCTATCAAACTTTTGCATAACTTTACAGCTATAGCAACCTGAAGAATTATTTCTGTGGTTCTAATCAGGTTTCTCCAAAGCTTCAGCGAGCCAGAGATCAGCTACGTTGTTGCCATAACTACCTTTTGGATAATTGAAACCGTGTACCAGGATAGCTTTGCTTTCTGTATAGAAGAAGGCAACAAGACGCCACCTGAACTCCTGGGGACCTGCCAGAGATGGGGAAGCCCTGAGTTCAAGCAGTACTGCCAGTCTCTGCAGAGAATTGCAGATCGCTGCCTCGCAGAAGCGTCAGCTGATGCTGCGAGGAGTGCTGAAGAGGCCTTCCTTCGGGTGCTTGAGCTGGAAATTGGTTTCTGGGACATGAGCTCTTCTCGATCATGAACGGCAACAGCATCTCGATCATGAACTACTTGGGAGAAATAATCGAATAATGGTGCAGCCGGTTCCATACCGAACCCTGCAGTGTACTACTGTGTTTTCCTCTTCCTTTTATCCCCATTTCTCTCCTTACTCCCATGAACATTGATGTATCATCGTAACTATGAAATAAATGAAATAATGCCGTTTCCTCCTAATCAAAATCATCGTCGAATTTCAAGTTCCTGGATAGAACTCATATATCAGTATCACCGCCGGTTGATCTGCCTGAGACAGCTTTGACACTGCTGAATGCTGATCATCATCAATTGACAGAATTCCATTTCAACGTGGCAAATATACGATGGAACATGTATTCCAAAAGCACATCGTCTCATGCACATGCTCCTAAAATGTCAAGCCAGAGTATGAATTTGTATTCCAAAGGATCGCTTGTCCTGCAATCGCGGTTACTGAATACTCCCTCCGTATTTTAATGTATGACGCCGTTGACTTTTTAACCAACGTTTGATCATTCATCTTATTCAATTTTTTTATGCAAATGCAAAAATACTTATGTCATGCTTAAAGAACATTTGATGATAAATCAAGTCACAATAAAATAAATGATAATTACATAATTTTTTTAATAAGACAAAAGGTCAAACGTTTGTTAAAAAGTCAATGGCGTCATACATTAAAATACGGAGGGAGTATTTGTTTTTGTAATTAACAAATAAAAAACCTCGCATTATTGCAAACTAAGACAAATTAACGATCAAACTTACACGCCCAAGAGGCAAAGTGTACACCCCAGTATGCCATGCTGCTCTAGCTTGCTTAGAGCTGAAATGTGTAACACAGTAACAGCAATGGCGAAAGCCATGGATGAACTGGTGGCGCTCGTGTGGGCTCAGTCTTCGTAGGTGCGGCACTCGTCGGTCTCCGGGTTGTCCTTGCAGTACTCCTCGAGCGGGTCGCTGTCCTTCTTGCGGTCGCGCGCGTGGCTGGCGGCGGCGCTGAGCTCCTCCACCTCGTCCCACGCCGCCGCGCACTCGCCGCCCTCCGGGTCGCCCGCGCACGTCTCCTCCGCCTGCTTGATGCTCTCCGACACCTTCTGCGCCAGCTCCGGCGGCGTCGGCGAGCCCGCCGCGACCACCACCGCCAGCCTTCCCAGCGCGCGCCCCTGCCGGCGGCCGGCGAACGACACGACGTTCCGGCGAACCGGTAGCGTAGGAGCCAGGGGCCCCGGGAGGGTCGTCGGAGCCTGGAAGGTGGCCATGGCGGCCACGGCGAGGATGGTTGCCATGGCTCTGGCTGCCTGCACCCCGAAGAGTGTTGCAGTGAGGAAGGAGAAGAAGAAGGAGGTTTTGGGTTGGGGTTTGGTTGTTTGGGCTAATGCTGTTTTTATGGCTGCATTTATCTTATCTCTATGTGGCCAATAGCGTTGTGACAAATCAGCCTTGCCAGATTTCCTTTCTAGAAGGCATCGTCCGTTTTCGATCGAACGATCGAGCAGCACGCAGTTCGTGCACAAATGCTTAGTACTAGCCCCATTAGATTAACACGAATTAATACAATGTTGAAGATATCGCAAAATGTACACTCGCTAGCTGCCAAATTCGTAGCCGTAATACTGTGAGTAAGATCTCGTTGAAACCGGCAGTTATTAGCTCTGGATTTCCTGAACTACTGGCCGTGTATTACCGGTGGGTCACATCAACGAGAGAATAGTGGCCCGACTGGCCGTATGTGCTTATGTGGCGAGCGCGCGGCCGGCACGGCACGCGTACACCGTAGAGAGCCATAGACACCGGCCGTGGAGGCGGGGAAGACGACGACTCGATCGACGAATTCTATGGCCGTACGTGGTGGCGGTAGTAGCCAGAAGCAGATGGTTTCCCACAGCCAGGACCGGCGTTACGTGCCGCCGCTGATTTCGATCGACGTACGTACGCCGCGAGGGAATCACTGCTCGTCGCCGTCGCCGTCGCGCCACGCGGAATTAAGTCGCCACCACCGCCAACACGTACTACGTACGTGTAGAGCGGCCGGACCGTGACCGTGACCGTGACCGCGCGGTGCCGTGCGCGGCCGATGGATGGATGGATGGCTTAGCTACTGGTGGTGGCTGCGGGTTCCGCGGTGGGTGATGACGCATGCGCGCGGCCGGCGGGTCGTCGGGATGCGCGCATGCCCCGCCCGCCGACGGCGCGCGACGGTACGTACGTCCACGTCGGCGTCGTTCGCGTCAGGTGACCGAGCTGGCCTCGTCTGAGTCGTCTCTCTCCTTTGTTTATTTCCTTTCTTTTCTGCAGCGCACCGAGCGACCCGGGTTAATTCACAGGATCTTTTTGCCGACCGCGCAACATATATGTGCTGGGTGTCACCGTGTCCATGTCAGGTGCCTTCTTTTTTTAATTACACAAAATACGAACACGCACCACCGCAAGTGTGCTCTAATACATGTTCAAAGAGACGAATTAAGAACAGTGACACATCACAACCTCTATTAAAACCCTATTAAAAGTACTACTGTGCATGTATTATTTGGGAGCATCAGGGTTTTGAACTATAGTAGACGAAGGCTGTGTTCTTTCCCCCACTTTACCAACTCACATATCTCGTTTTCCACGTGCAAGCTTTTCAAATGGCTAAACGGTGCGTTTTTTTATAAAAAATTTCAATATGAAAGTTGCTTTAAAAAATCAAATTAATTCATTTTTTAAAAAAAATGCTAATACTTAATTAATCACACGCTAATGTACCGCTCTGTTTTCCGTGTGAAGGAGATGGGTTCCTAACCCAAAGGAGCGAACACAGCCGAAGTCATGTTCCCAAAACTCTACCATACCATAGTAGCATAATTTAATCTTCTTGAGCTACGTTCGGCAGTAGAACAAAGTAAGAAAGTTTGTTTCGTTTTCCGCGCGCACGTTTCCCAAACTACTTAACAGTATATTTTTAGCAAAAAAATTTTTATAGAAAAGTTGCTTTAAAAAATCATATCAATCCATTTTTGAAATTTAAAATAATTAATACTCAATTAATCATGCACTAATAGCTCACCTCGTTTTTCATATCTTCCCAATTTTCTCTATCCACTTCTTCTCAAACTCATTACTTCTGAGAGCAGGTACAATAGTAGATTATAAACCAGCTATAAACATATTTTAAAGAGATAAAAGAAGAGAGAGAAGAGAAGTGGGCTACAGATCTATAGCCAGCTGCAGCACGGACTCCAAGACGTAATGTGTGTATGACAGGTGGGACCATGTATTAATAATGTAGTAAGCAACTATTGTATGAATTGACTATTAAGCTGACTAAAGATAATTTAGAGCTAGTAGTTGGCTATACTATTAAACTTGCTATGAGAAAGATCACATGCGATTGTCAGGCATTTCGGATTCTTATTTCTCTTGGGATTTGGGATAAAAAAGAGTACACTTAACGGTTAAACTTGTAGAAAACTTATTATAAAACTATATTTTTTTACAACTTTAACCATAATTTATGATTGTTCTGAAATTTTCTTTAAAAAAACAAGTCTTAAGTTTTGTAATATGTTCAAACGTGGAGCGTACAGTTCGTTTGAAAGTAAATGTATAACTGATGTACAACTCTTATTTTTATTCAGTACTACTCTATTTCATATTACCTGTAGTAATCAATATAAACTGTTATAGCAACTTAAAAGTCATTCGAAATAGCTTTTTTTATTTCCATCAATGTTTGTACAGGGCTTTTGGTTCCGATCCACAATTCATATTGCTCCATTTCTTCCTCTTATTATATGATAGCTCACTTCAGCAAGCTTATGCCTCTGTGACCATAATAGACATTAAGGTTTTATATCATGGTCTCTTGTAAGAGTTAACCATGGTCTCTAATTTTATATAACAAAAACTCATGTAGCTGTGGTGGATTGGGTGCATCAATGCAACGAGGTAACCATTTGGGAGACAATAATCGAATGGTTATGAGGCAGCAAGAGGAAGTGCAAGTGAATTAAAGGGCACTTAGTGAGCTCTTGGAGAAGACGATGAGGACCACATGGCTATTTTATGGGGGACATGCAATTTGAAATTTAAAAGTTATTGCTAGTGCATAGAGGCTGTCAAGACATAGTTGCCACCCTATTATGTTGAGCATGTGGTGGTATTTGTTGGATGTAAGATGTGGAGATAGGTTAAGTTTAGGGCATTACAAAGTTGAGGGGAACCTAGATGGTTGGATCTTACTCCAATGATAAGAAACCAGTATTGGGGTATCACTATTATAGAACATGCATGCATCGCTATTATTTGGAGAGACATCAATTAGAAGTTTTTGAAAAAGTTGGTCACTTTTCCCATTACTTGCACTATTGAAAAGGTTAAACAATAAACTACGCTAACCTAAACACAAAAATAAATTGATAACTAGTAAATACAATCATAGAATTACAAGTAAAAGTATCCAAAGTTAGATAGAGAACAACATAAAACCATATACAATGATAAAGCTTTAGTTAAAATGGGCTAAAACTGCAGATTGCATAGCTCTGATTTTAGGCTTGGAAATGTTTAGTTTTAGATGACTGTTAAATTACTCTCTTTATTTTATATTATAAGTCGCTTTGATTTTTTTTCTAATTAAACTTAAATACGTTTGATTAAGTTTATAGAAATACTCAGTAGCATATTCAGCATAAAAGAAATATATTATCAAAATATATCTAATGTTAGATTCAATGAAATAAATTTGGTGTTCTAGATATTGTTAAATTTTTCTATAAGCTTGATTAAACATCAAAATATTTTACTAATAAAAAGTTAAAAGCGATTTATAATATAATATGAAATGAAGGGTGTATCAAATCAAATACCACGAGAACACATTACACAATCTAAGCTAACTGAAGTTTATACAATGTTCACACACTTTATTTATTTCTCCACTCTTGTACCTCGCAACAAGCTATACTTTTTACTACACAATCAAAACAGGAATATGGATCGTAAAATCAACAACAGTATTAACGTACAGTAGCTAGATCACACCATACAAACCGAAGACACGCATGTGGCAACAATCATAAGTCAAGTACACAATGTAGAGTTTCATATGTTTTCGTAGCCCTGCAGCATACTGACCGGATCCATGACCGAGTCTGGCTGGAAGTACAGCATCTCGATCTGTGGCGGCAGCGGCGGCAGCAGCGGCGGTGGCGAGAGCGGCGTCATCCCCAGGTCGCCGCCGTAGAGCTGCACGAGGTGGTCGGCGACGTCGGGCACGTCGAGGGGCACGCCTGCCACCTCCCCGAGCAGGCGGAGCTGCGAGGCGCGGAGCTGGAGCGCGCTGCACAGCTCGCGCGCGTGCGCGGCGAGCACCCGGTTCTCCTGCTCGACCAGGCGGCACCGCTGCAGCACGGCGCCGGCGCCGGCGCGCATGGCGTCGTTCTCCCGCCGGAGCTGCTCCGCCTCCACGGCCAGCCCGTCCACGTACTGCTGCTTCTTTATGCGGGACCTCTGCGCCGACAGCCGGTTCGACCTCTTCCGGTTGCGCTGCCGCTCCTCCTCCTCCGCCGCCGCCGCCGCCGCCGAGCGGCGTGCGGACCCTTCCGTCGCCGGCGCAACTGACATCTTGAATGTATCACAGAGCACAAAGAGAAACTAACACTCACCGTGGAACACCGATCGAACACGTACTAGGCAGAAATATTTCGTGCTCCAAGTTGGGCAATCGCGTGCAGGAACAAGGCGATACTAGGAAAGGAACAAGCTAGAACACATTTAGTAGAATATATATTTTTTTGGATCAAACAAAGCTTCAGTTTTTGGTCCTTAGTTTCAGCGAAGATGGATCGTGCACGAAGCTTTGTTTGATCAGGTTTGGAGAGGAAGCGGATGAGGCGAATCAGGAAATCACGTAGAAGAAGTAGAGGAACACGACGGAGAGCGAGTGGAGGTAGCAGAAGTGGAGGCTAGCCTCCGTGATCGACATGGATGCGGCTGAACCCGGCGAACAAGAAGCCACAGGGAGTTCGTCGTCGATCCTTCAAATCAAGAACTACACGGAGTGAAAGGATCGAAGAAGAAGCAACCAAGATCGGTTGATCGATCGAGAAGCTCAGCTAGCTGAATCGATCGAGCCAACCGGGAGGAGAATAATTCATGGTGCTATGTAATCTATAACCTGACCAAAGAGGCTAGCTAGAGCTAGGAGGACGAACAGATCGAAAGGGAGGGAGGAATGGGGAAGCAGAAGAGTAGTAGTGGTGCTTAGGTTTGCGAAGTTGATTGTGGTTTTGCGGATACACAAGATTGTGTGGGGGAGAGGGGATGATCAATGAATACTTATATATGTGCATTGACTAGTACTGGAGCTAGTACTGTCTAATATAGTTCAATTACGTGTGCACCGACTAGTATCTTTTTGGAAAAAAAAAGTTCATCTTTTGCTCTAATCAACTCGGTTGGTTAAGTGAAATGAAGGTTTTATTGATTTTACCGCGCAGATCTGAAATTTCCAGAGATGAGAAAGAAGATTCGAGTGAAATTTCCATAACACAACAAGAGAGGGGCTTCGTTTTCCTCCCCTTATGATGTGTTTTCACGGCTGCTCTGAGATATTCTTTTTTCGATCCACAAACGGACAAGGCATCATGCACATAGGTTAGTAATTAACTCCAGCAATGGCAGCAAAGACGTATTAAGGGAAGCATTGCCACATTGACACTCTCTTCTTCTTTTGTTGTCTGACCAGAAGCGAGCCGGCAGCTGCGCAGCTTAACCAGCAGCGTCAGCACGCATGCTTTCAGCAGGATGAAGATTGCAGAGTTTCAGAAAGAGACAGACAGCGCTGGCATATTCAGAAAAATAAATTCAGAATTCAGAACGCGTTTCCTCCTGTGCCGATCGATCGATGACTTCGTCGCGGTGAAGTTAGCCCCGATTGGTCGCTCTAGCTTCTGGGAAGCAGCCCAGGGCAAAAGATCCAAGGAGTATGACGAATCAATTAACGGCTAATCTAGCACTTATTTGTCATTTTTCACTCTCTCTCTCTCTCTCTCTCTCTCTCCGACGTAGCAATGTTAGGACAGGTGGCCACTGCGTTTGCTCCAACCTGAATATTCGGTTGTGAGATTCAGATGTCCTAGTTGCTTCTGTTAATTAGAGTATGGCGTCACCGCCACGAGATAACATTAACAAAACTGCGTGGCCAATGCCCAAATAGTTTTTACCTGAAGGGTGAGGAAAGAAACAGTACATGTCATTTTCGATTAGTAGGGCACCACTTCGCCGTGACATGGCTGGCAAGTTGCTTATGTGCTAAGGGAAACAGAAGTACCAAATGTTTGTACTTATGCATGTACAGTTGAAGACCCTGATTAGCCAAAAAAAAGTGTGTAATTTGAGATCGATTAGCTGAAGGTAATTGCTTGCTAATGTGTAATCATGTTGCCTCATGTGATCGACTCGTGTCTTCTGCTCCTGGTAGCCTGGACGCTGATGCTGTTGGGGATGAAAGGTTGAGCTCTGATTGAAGCTTTTGGAGGCTCAATTCGTGCGACCTTGTCGGAGCAAATATGTTCTTCTAAGAGAAAGTGAAGTGTAACTTTGTTTATGATCCACTGAACTTTGTCTAGTTGATGTGTGCTTTGGCTGCATGCTTGCAGATATTAAAGGTCTCTCTCGCTGACGAATTAGCTGACTTTGGAGCTAATTTACTCATGACCATGCATATATAGCATATCAGTGTGTACCTTTCAGTTTCCTTCTACTTAATTGGTTCCAACAAAGCAGAGGTGATTAGATGACCTATAAATTTATCTCTTCTTTTTCCAAGATGACATGAACTTCACCTTTGCCCCAGCACTTGTTTACCGAACTACCGTGACGTCGCGAATGATGTAAATTGGCATCCTTGCGTGGATTCGTATGATCTTATTAATACTTATATTACACAGTAAAACATCTCACTGTCAATGAGGGGCCCAAGGAGAAGCAGAAGAAGATTCTTTCTAAACTACTAGTTGGGTGTTCATTGTAACGGAAAAAACCACGTCGAGTGAAATGATGTTAAATAAGTGTAAATTGACTGTATAAAAACCTTAATATAGTACTAATAATAATTATATAACATATTTATAATTTTCACATCTTTATAGTATTAACATGTTAGTACCATATAAGTAGTAATAGCTAAATGCACGTGCTTTGTTATGGATAAAAGAAAACATATAAATGTGTTGCCTATCTTTTTTTTTTGTTATAGGGAATATTCATCGTACTCTAATTTTTTAATGTGACTATCCATTTAGATTTGATCTTTTTTAATATTAAAAAAATTAGGGTTAACTTTTAAAATTTACAATGGAAGTACGTAGGGTGTTACTCTTGCTACCATCAGGATAGATCTGTCCCCTTCCTCGGTTTCCCCCCACATATGGGATATTTTAAGAAATAAACGTCTTTCTTCATAGCAGGGTCGGGGGAAAGAATGGAAAAGACGATTTCACTATATTTCTTACCGGGAACAGGGCCTATCACAAGAATATTTTTTTATTGGGACGATAACTCTGAAAAGAGAGATTTCCTGTCTTTTCTTTCAACTCAGGAGAAATACGGTCGGGCGGCGCTAATTCGAATCCCTCGGGCAAAAAAACTACAGTTACCGCCATAGACAATGATTCATTTGTGAATGCTAAATAGTAGTTGCCCATAAGAAGATCCATTATTGGGTGAATGGAGAATGGATCCAAGGGGCTCGCCAAATCAGTTACTGGTCCTAAAGAATTTGTGCTTTCCGCATCTGATAAATAATTTGGTCTCTCATAGGTCACAGCATCAGCCAATAAATCCTGTGTCAACGGCTTAGGTTGGTTTACCGATGAGCCCGACGAGGAGAGCCTTTCACTCCCCACTGGGCTTGGGCTCCCTGCGTCATTCCCATTGGCTGGGGCAGGTCCATCTCCCTCTTTCTCTAAAAGCTCTACAGCGCGAATAAGCCCTATGTATGGGCTCTGCGCTATTGTATCCAGATTTTTACTTGCGAAAAAATCCTCTATTTCCTGCTCTATACTTTTATCAAACTGGAGTCCCATAGCAAATACATATTTTTATGCTCCCTCTACTTCAATGAAAGCTCCTCCTACTACTCCCCCTTATCCTTCTCACTCGTCGTTTCATTGGTCTTTTATATACCCATTTTCATTCCATTTGGACCCCTAGCAAATTCGAACTTTCGTTGAAATTGTCTCTATTCATATGTATGAAATACATATATGAAATACGTATGTGGAGTTCCCGAGAATTTCATGTGATTTAGTAAACAAAATATAGATTCCATAATTGCTAGATCGATCTGTAGGGATTGATGAAGAGTGAGCTGATAATGGAATTTTTCTTCGATAAACAGGAAACTTAAGATTAAGATGCTCCGGAATGGAAATGAGGGAATGTCCACAATACCCGGATTTAGTCAGATCCAATTCGAGGGATTTTGTAGGTTCATTAATCAAGGTTTGGCAGAAGAACTTGAGAAGTTTCCAACAATTAAAGATCCAGATCACGGAATGGATACGAAATCTAGAGGCGGCAGGTAAACTAGGGAAACAGAAACTATTGTTTTTGGTGAATTATCAGTGTGCAGATGAATTTCATCCACTGCTATTGAAGAAGCTTTTAGAGGGATATCTTGTCTTGTCGGGCTAAGAGCTCTTATCTCTTTCTTTTCCCACGGTAACTAGAGATTGAATAATAGAAGCCAGATTCAATAATAGAAGCCAGATTCAATATCATAAGAAAATAGAGATTGTAGCGTAGAGTCAGGCTATCCCATGTTTGCAATAACAGCTTTGGGATCTTTCCTGTTAATGATGAATAGCTTGCCTCAACAGAGAATCAGAATTCTTTTTATTCGGTATAACAACCTTAAAAACGAATCGATCTAGATGCCCCGCTCTTGCCATCTTTGATGGAATTGAATCATCAACTGACTTACTTGAGGAATAAAAAAATATGCAGCTTTCGATTCTTGTCTATCGGATTCTATTGAGAAGAAGGGACAACCATCCATCCTCCCCGAAACTAGTTTAGTGCCTGAACGAGATTGGTGGCACTTATGACGAGAAAACAAACTCTTTCTTCTGTTCAAAAGCTAGTAGTGCCATAGTGCCAATCTACTCCGAAGAACAAGCTTCTTTGCAAAACTACTTTCTTCTACGGAGCTACCTCCGTCTCACTCTTGTACCGAATGCTACCTGGCATAACATCCTTACTTAAATATCTTCCGCTCTCCAGACTTCAACAGTGCCATCTTCCAGTAGGAAGAGAATCTTTTCATCCTCCCACCCAACCAAGTAGGTTTCTTTTCTATAAGAAATGCTGTCAATATTTCCTGCTAAATCCTGCTTATCCAATAAGTTTCGGATATCTATATCCTGGAGTAAGAAGGATTCACCTTCTTTTTAGTGGTGTTCCTTTAGAAAATTTGTTAACGTTAGGGCCCCCAATGAATGTTTTCACTAACACTTGTGATAAACTCATCATCAAAAGTAAATCCTCTTGTTCTTTGAGCCAATACACAGCTATCCCTACCGGATTATTATTTTCAATCAACTCTTCCAGCCCTAGATATCCTCTATCACACTCCATATGAACTAGCTTATACATGAAAGCAGGAAAAGCCAATTCATTTATTCTCTAATAATAAATTACCGATAAAGGGTAGTTGTTTCGTAGGGATAATACCCTTATTAATTGATCCTTACAGAATGGAAGTAAGCCCCTTCTTCATAAGATCAAGAAAGTACGAGCGTCTTTCGAAGATTGGAAAATCTAAGTCGTATCGAACACTATGTCCTAATAGTAAGGGATTTCTTTCAACCCGGTGGTAAGCCGGTGGTACCCGGAGAAAACGTTGCCCGAAGGAAGGGACTAAACCCATCTGTTCAATTAGTAGCCAAGTAGTACCGAAGGAGTATCTCCGAGTTAAGGAGTACCGAAGGGAAGGCAGAAAAACCAAGTGAAAGAAAGAGATCGCAATGGTCTAAGATATAGTCAGTACTGTGATGGGCCGCAAACGTAAGTTGGTTGTTAGCGCCAACTGAACTGCGTAACCAAAGCGATTCCCCTTATTGGAAGATAGGGTTAACCTATGTCAGTTCGACTCCGGCGAGTCGCCCCCCATTATTAGTTTGGCGTGCTGTCAGTTCCACGGGCCTAATATATGATATTTAGCATATACGAGTGCTGCTACAACCTCCTCTTCTATTCAATTGTATCTTTATACCTATCCTTCGATAAGGGGTAGGTAATTAGAGGGGAGAATGTTATTAAACATAGGAAAAAGTTTACATCGTGATGTGCCTCGAGATGGCCGTCTCCTGTCTCCCTGCTCGTGGGGAATCCGCTCCTGGGGCGTCGCTCTGCTGCGTCTGGCCCGTCCTCTAGGCACCTTTGGGGGGCAGGGAGTGTGACAACGTACACGCTTCCCTTTACTCCATAGGGCCTTTTCCTCAGTTGCAGGGTTTGGTGGCCCGAAATTGACTTGGCTTCGCCAAAAGGCCTCATCTCCAAAGCCTGGCTCGCGAGGCGTCCCTCTCGCTGTAGGGCGGAGCCCCCTCGCCTTGCTCTTGTGACATGCTATGTTTCCCTTCTTCCATTCTCAAGTCAAGGGTGAGTCCCATGCGTCAGTTTGTGGATCGCGGTCTCACGCACTAATCTCTACAGGTGCCCATAGTAGGCCGGCCGCCCTACCTAAACCAATCATCATATCGGTCCCTAGGCCCCATTGCTGGAAAGGCTCGGCTTCAAAACCGTACGTGGAGCTTCTGCCTCATACGACTCCTCGGCTGGTCAAACTATAGGATTACCATTCACTTAGTCAACTTATTGGATAGACGGGTCATCCACTTGACCGAGGAGAGTAAGGTTCGTCACCACAGTCCCGAGAAGAATGGAACGCTGCTTCGCTCTGCTGGATGCGTCGGATCCCATATAAGAAGCTCGCTCTTTACCCGATCATTCAAACATTTTGTGGGCGGCGCGCCTGCTCTATTGTTGCGTAGCAATAGAAGCCTGCTTATGCTGCTTCGGCGGATAGATTCACTGCCACCACTACTACAATGTTCTTCTAAAAGAGTTTCTAAAAGAGTATAGATATATCTTTCTCAGTTCCGAGGGGGTGAGCCGGTGAGTACTTCATCTTCATGTATTAGTCCATCTGGTTTGATGGGCTCCGAGATGGGCCAAATCTCACCTCAATCTCTCCAGGCCCAAGCTCAAGACAACACATGACAAGAGGCTCCATGTCATTGCTGGCCTGACCCGTTTCCAAGTGAGATTAGGCAGTGCCCGTTTTCTCGTACCGATCGATGTTCAGACTTCAGAGTCGAGATAATCACAAGAGAAGAATCAGCTGATATGTCTGATTCTTTTTTTACGATTTTTTTGGATTCTCTAAAAAGGGAAACAATTTTGGAGCTGTCCGTGGTCTTAAGAAAAGAAAGGTTCTTACAAAAATTTGGGCCTGTCGACCAGAATGTTGTACCACTACTGCATGCCAGAAGAACCTGACGATGTCTTGCTGAGTTGCTCTATCTTGAAATCAAGGGAAAGTACGAATGCCTTTGCCTCGTGCTTCTCTTTTGCATCTATCCCTTTCTTTCTTTGTGATTTTTATTTTTCTTTTTGAACGAAGCTATCCCTTACTTTGTCCAAATGACAAAAAAAAGGCTTTGTTGGACCATTTCAAGTTCTCGGTAATCTTCCGAGAAATCCAATTTCACAAGAGACTACATCCAGAATCACACTAGTGTATATATATATAACTCAAATGCATAATTTGGAGCACAGTAATTTGCTAGAAAAAACTGTCAAATCGCTCTAAACAATCTGAAGAAATCAACCCGCGCGCGGATACAGAGATCAACGGCCGGCAAAAAGGTTTCTCGTCGACGAAACCGCCGCGGCCGCCCCGAAGCTATCGGGCGGCACCGCCGCAATGCTGCGCGCCGCGGCCGCCACCACCGCCGGGTTCCTCCCGCCGCGTCTGGCCGCCGAGACGGCGCCCGCGGCAAGGGTTGTGGCGGCGGCGGGTGCCGAGGTGAGGTCGTCGCCGCTCCTCAGGGCTCTAGGGGTGCCGAGAGGCGGCGCCGGCATTGGGAGCGCCACGCCGGGGAGGAGGATGTACTTCGCCTCCGGCTCCGACTCCTCCGGAAGCGCCGCCGACAGCGACTCGGAGGCGTCGTCCGCCGCTGGCGCTGGGGAGGAGGAGAGCGAGGGCAACAGGTCGTCCTCCGCTGTCGCTCCCGCCATTATCCGACCCGAGGACTGCCACACGGTGCGCTCTCTCTCTCTCGCTAAAAATTTGATCAGCATTGTGTTGTTCTGGTGTCTGTTCGGATTATTTGCTAAGGAGTTTGTGGGGTTTGAACTTAGCCTAAGCCTGGAAGTAGCTTAATGGGAATTCAACCAGATTAGATTATCCTTTGAAACTTCTCGCGTTCTAGTGCTGAAAAAGGTATTTGGAAAACAGTATGTTTTTAGTGGGGTATGGAGGGAATGAGGAGCTGGCTGTCCAGAGAAACCTTCTGGATCCTTTCTATTCTATCTATGAGCACTAATGCTCTGGGAATTGGAAACATCAGAATTCAGAACATGTATGTATTGCTATTGAGTGAGTTTTACCAAATTTCTATTGTGCCATTTGGGTGAAATGTGTAGTGAGATTTTCAGCTTTGATGTGATGTTGTGACTTTAAGCATAACTTATATTTTTGCACATTTGCACTAATTTTTTTAATAAGATTAATGTTCAAACGTCATGTCCAAAAAACAACAGTGTCATATATTTTAAAATGGAGGGGGTATTTGTTTAGGGGTTGTTGCTGTGAACTTGCTCAATTCGCATGGCATTCAGCTCACATGGGTGGAGGTCTAGCAACAAGATTTGTACAAATTGAACTTTGATGTTTATTTAACTCGTTGAGAACTTGTTGCTATTTTTAAATTTTTATCTCTGTTCCACCTGGTATGGGTCTATTCTAATAATGCGACGTTGAGATTAGGCTTTGTGCGTCTTTGACACAACTGCCGGTTTATCCATTATCTTAAAACTTAACTCAATTTGCATGCCGAGAACAGAGAGTGGCAACTTGCCTCTCTAAAAGGCTCAGGAAGTTGAAGCCCTACCTACAACAAATATTATTTTTTGTAGCAACATGTTACTATATCTAGAAGGATCTTTTTTCCCCTATACAATGGATAATTCGTCGCCTGCTTATTTTAGATCATTCGCATTACTTCATTTCTTCAAGTTGTCACTTTTGGTTTCAGATGAGTATATTTAGTTTAGCCTGTCATTTAACATAAAAATGCAATATATATACTCACACTGATGAACATACTATTCATGTGAGATCCATTTAGTATGATGTGACTCGGTTAATCATCTAGGTCTCTCTCTCTCTCTCTCTCTCTCTCTCTCTCTGGTGATTCAGTTAATCATCTACTTCCCAACTACAGGTCATAGCTTTGCCTTTGCCACATCAGCCACTATTTCCAGGATTTTTTATGGCAATGTCTGTAAAGGTATCTTACCGAACTATTTACAATCACTCAATGAGCATATCACTTTCCCAATTTTATTTGCTTTAGTGCTGCGATTTTTGTTCCTTTCTGCTACTAATAATTTATCATATTTTCCCCCTCAGGATCCGAAGTTGTTGAAAGCTTTAGTTGAAAACCACAAAAGATCTTTCCCATATGCTGGGGCCTTTCTTGTCAAGAATGAGGAAGATACTGACAGTAACACTGTCACACGTTCAGATCCAAAGAAAAGCATTCATGGTCTGAAAGGGAAAGAATTATTGAAGCATCTTCATGAAATTGGCACTCTTGCTAAGGTATTTAGCTATTTACCTGGGCTTGGGGGTAGCATAGAAACTTTCATTGCATCAATCTCAAACTGTTCTGTCTGTCATTCCATGTAGATAACAAGCATTCAAGGAGATCAGGTGTTGCTACTTGGTCACTGCCGTTTACGGATAACTGAAATGGTTAGATACCTTGGACTGCATGCTATTCAGTTTCTCTTGAATCTTTTGAATTTTTTTTTGAGTTTTTTTTGTCAAAGAATGCAGGTTGAGGAGGACCCACTTACAGTTAAAGTTGACCATCTAAAGGTACATATGCCATCACTATTATTTTCTTCTCTGTCTGTCTTCCACTGTACATATTTCAATCCTACCAAACCCCTGCCAAACTCCTTCCCTCTCAAAACAGGATTTTATTTCATTGTGTGCCTGTGTTTAAATTACAATAATATACCATAAAAGGTTGAACATATGTCACATTTGCTTTCTTGAAGTGTAAGAGGAAATGATCTTTTAGTTCAATAATTCTTATTTCTGTTGAAGTTGGAAATATCAGCTGCTTCCAGAAACAATACAAGTATTACAGTCTAGTAAAAAGTGGTTGCATTTATTTTCTAACTTTTGGCTTGATTTGATTTTAAGCCACTGTGTAATAACTTTTCATACCTGAACTGCAGCACACATTTCAGATTATATGACTTTAACTAAATTGAATACATTTTGCAAATCTTGTCCTTGATTTATACCACCTTTCAGTACCAGCTGAAAATATTTAGTGTACAATTGCTTTGCACTGTTGAGAAGCCTTTGATTATGATCTCTTCATACTAGCGGAGCTTCTGCAGGAAAAGCCTTACGATAAAGACAATGATTCCATAAAGGCAATATATTTCGAACTTCTATCGACTTTAAGGGATGTTCTAAAAACAAGTTCCCTTTGGAAGGATCATGCTCAAATCTACACCCAGGTTGCCTTACTATTTTTAACTCCTTTAGTGTACATCTGAATCTTTCTTATCTATTTGCATGTAAACTCTGTTTGAAATCTACTTAAATATTTCTACTGTAATGATTAATTTTACACCATCTATTCACTGAACTTAAAACTTTGTGTTTCAGCGTGGTATATCATTGTGTTATCATTTACTTTGGGTACATGTCACTTGCAATTCTTAACGTCATTATTCCATCATTAAGTTCTGAATGTGCAAACAATATTTGATCAGCACCTACTATAGCTTTCTTATCCATCAATCCGATGGCAAATGTGCATTTTTTCCACACTCATTACCTTACTAACCTACTTATCATTGCTGGTCTATGAATTATACCAACATGACTCTATACCATGATCCTTGTTTAGTCTAAAAAAATATCTTTGGATAATCTATCTCTCGTTCTATTTTCACATGTATTTAAGTCTTTCTTCTGTTGTTTCAGCATATGGTTGATTTCAACTACCAAAGACTAGCAGATTTTGGCGCTGCTATTTCAGTCACCAACAAGTTGCTATGCCAGGGAGTTCTTGAGGAACTAGATGTAAGAGTTATCTCAGAGTATCCTTTCTACTGTATCTGGAGGGGGGGGGGGGGGTTCGGAAAAAAAAATTGAATCCTGGGAACGCCCTTTTAAATAATACCATATTCAAATATTGCTTTAGTTTCATCTGGTAATTTTATTAATGAGCATTTGCTGGCGTGCTTTTTTTGGTTACCCTACATTGTAATCCAAATTACTTGTCCCTTTTTGGAGCAGGTGTCTAAGCGTTTGATGTTGACCCTTGAATTAGTAAAGAGGGAATTGGAGATTACTAAGTTGCAGGTACTTTTTTTTCTGTGAGAAGTCGCAGGTACTTGGTAGTGTTGATATCTTAACTTATGCCATATTCCTTCAAGTGCATTTTTGATATATAAGATTACCCGCATCACAGCAATCCATAGCAAAAGCAATTGAAGAAAAAGTAACTGGCGAGCAGCGCCGCTACTTATTGAATGAGCAACTTAAAGCAATCAAGAAGGTAATGCAATCACTTCTACTGAATGTTCATATGCTTTCGATATAAAGAATTCAAGATGATATTGTATTGAGTTTTGTACAGTACCTAGGGTTTCCCATACTGTTGGTTACTGTGGCAACCGGGCTTACCGCTGTCGGTAACGGTAAGGGCCGGTAACCCTACAAAGCTCAAAAAAATATTTGGTAAATCTTGTCCAGTTTTTCACAGTTGAGCATGGTAACCCCTCCCCGAACAGTAAGGGAAACCCTGAGTTATACCCTTTGTCCCAAACCATTATGTCATCACACTTTATGATATGATACTTTGCCTGTCAACTGTTGCAAAATTTCGCTTTCTATTTTTTTATGTTAAATAAATATAGTATTGTTCCCATTTGATTATATTTTAGTCGTTATGCTTTTCTAGTTCCACTTTTAGGTTAATTAGGCATTATTTATTCTTCCTGGTTACCCTTATGCACTGTGGTATGCAGGAGCTAGGCTTGGAGACTGATGATAAAACAGCGTTGTCAGGTTTGTTTCTGAAGTTACTGTTAGTTTTTAAGGAATTTACTCCCTTGGTTGATTTTCATAAGTCACCATTTGATTTATCCTCTGCATCTGATTTTTTCTTAAACCATTACTTGCACAATATATTTCTCCTAACTACCAAATCAAGATCAGAAGAATGTATTTTCACGGACAGATCCAACTGTATTGCCTTTATGCCACAAAACCTATATATTGTTCGACTAGTTATTGACCAAAACTTGAAATATGTAGGATTCCTTATAAAAATCAATTGAATGAGTGCATGCTAACTACATATCTGCAAGTTTTTGTTGTTCTAATGCATAGTTGAATTACCTTTTTTCTCTCGCAGAAAAATTTAGGAAAAGGATTGAATCGAGAAAAGAGAAATGCCCATCTCATATCTTACAAGTCATTGAAGAAGAGCTCACTAAACTTCAATTACTGGAAGCTAGTTCTAGCGAGTTCAGTGTTACCAGCAATTATTTAGACTGGCTAACAGTATTGCCATGGGGGGATTACAGGTATGTGTTATTTATATATTTTGTTGTTTTAGAAACTTATGGGATATATTATTTTTCCCTTATGCACTTTTTTTGTTTGTGTAAGTGATGAAAACTTTGATGTTCTTCGTGCTCAACGCATTCTTGATGAAGATCACTATGGTCTAACTGATGTAAAAGAAAGAATATTGGAGTTTATAGCAGTTGGAAAATTAAGAGGAAGCTCACAAGGTTCCATAATTCTATCCTGTTTTTATTTTCTGTGTATTTTCTATGTATTATTTATGTGTGTATGGGAGGCCTTTAGCAAGCCATTAACATCGATGCAATTGGGTCTTCAAATGCATAGTATGCTATTTTTAAGCAATATTGCCGTGGCATAGATATGAACACATTAATAATTCGAATTTTGCACCTAAATGTCATGTGCAGTCCTGTTAGAGTAAGGAGAGGTCGGGGCATATGTATTGTTCACAATTTGTACTGAATTTTGTAGCCAGCATGGCTCTTGCAGTATTCCTTTACCTGCTTTTGCATGTTACCTGTGATTAATCCATTTCCCTATCATTATCAGGTAAAATTATATGTCTCTGTGGACCACCTGGCGTTGGTAAAACTAGTATTGGACGATCAGTTGCACGTGCATTAAACCGGAAGTTCTACAGATTTTCTGTTGGGGGTTTGTCTGATATAGCAGAAATCAAGGTGCAACGCTACTATATTCACTATATGCTGTTTTTTGGACAACAACGATTGTATCTACACAGGAATTCAACCTGATTAGCATTTTGAAACAACCCTAGGGTCATCGACGGACCTATGTTGGGGCAATGCCAGGGAAGATGGTTCAGTGTCTGAAATCAGTCGGAACTTCAAATCCTCTGGTTTTGATAGATGAGATCGACAAGGTATTCATGTACATTTGTATCATTGATTCGTTTTATTTGCTTTTGTGTGGTGTAGTAATTTCCATTTTAGTTTACACTTCAACATTTATATTCAAAATTGGGGTGATTTGAGTTATATGCATGGCATCTTAGTAGTTGTCTTTTTCCTGCCTCAGCTAGGGAGAGGGTATTCTGGTGATCCAGCCAGTGCACTGTTGGAACTTCTTGATCCTGAACAGAATGCTAACTTTCTTGATCATTATCTTGATGTTCCTATTGACCTCTCCAAGGTTAGGTCACCACTCCATGAAGTGCTTACATATTACACAAGTGTGATGGCAGTTTTCCTTACAGTTTAAGATGCTCAGCGGTCACCGCTGATTCAAATTGAAATTGGTATTTCATTCTTGAAAACAACATATCAGGAGTTAGCATAAAATGACAAAGAGTATCATGCCGGGGGATAATCAGCATTCTTAATCACCAGATCATGATTGCAACCAATTTCTTGTTGATGTAGTTATACTCCCTCCGTCCCAAAATATAAAGGATTATGGATGGATTTGACACATCCACCCAAAATCCCTTATATTTCGGGACGGAGGGAGTACTAGTATGTGCCATTGGATACAAATAAGCATGTGTTATGTTAGGAATTTTGTTTGGTTTCCACTCAGCAACCTGCTTATTTCATGGGCAATTGAGCATGATTCACCTTTATCTCTGTGATAAAATAAATCTTCAATAAAGCCTGTTTTTCTTTTGAAAAACCATATTTGGTTGGGAAGACTGATTATGATTCATTGCTTGATTAGAATGACGATGCAATCCATCCTTTTTTTAGATAATGGAATTAAATCCGGCATTTGCTTCAACGAAGCTACAACCAATTATTACAATATTCTCTCAAAAAGAGCAAACACTCAAGCAATTAGAATAACATAAATAATAAATCCAACACATAAGGAGTAAACAATTATTGAAGTCTATTATATAGATGGAAGGAAGGGCCTATGACACTGGTTCCCTCGTAGTATGGTAGCTCAGTTGGATTTGGATAGAGTCTATTGGATAGGATTAGATTGGGTCCTTCCTTCCATATATGTAAAAGGATGGATTGTATCGTCATTCTAATCAAGCAATGAATCAAAATCAGTCTTCCCCAACCTAAGTCCCTCTCTCATCCCTAGTAGTCATCGCCGTCCGGCTATCCTCCTGGCGGTGTTTACCCCCTATGAACCCTAACCCATAACATTAACACATGCAACAAAACCAGAATATATATATGTATATAGGTGCATGCATGGTATTTTTATGGTATTTCTTTTTATACTACAGTCATGTTTTATTAATAGCTCATTTGTGCTTGAGTTAACTTATTATAAGCTGACACCTGTCTTGAGAAATTAGGTTCTGTTTGTTTGCACTGCAAATGTCATAGAGATGATACCAGGCCCTCTACTGGACAGGATGGAGATCATTACTATTGCCGGTTATATAACCGATGAGAAGATGCATATTGCACGGGATTACCTAGAAAAGAACACAAGGGAGGCTTGTGGCATCATGCCTGAACAGGTACCTGCTATTTTTCTGTACAAAGACATGGTTTTCTAGTGCTTTCTGTTGGCACTGCAGCAAGTGCTTCCTGTTGGGTAAAACTGAGCGGAAGAACGTGAGGTGATGTACATGATATGATTTATAGAACAAATCACAACTTAATAAATTTCTTGAAAATCAGTAAATCAAGATGTAAAAGATCGTGTGGATTCTATTTTGGACTTTGAGTTTATGGGCTTTCTTTAAGATGGAGGAGCAGCATCCAGTTAGTTTCACTGGGTCAGGCAATTTTCATCTGAGTTGAGATTAATCTTCAGTCAATTTTTATTTCTCTGTTTAATGGTCATAGAATGACATCGGGAAATATTACAGATTTGTGCTTTCCATTTAATGATGTTTATTAGACCTTTTTTACTGATGACATCTTATTACACTAATGCAGACATCTTTATAACATTTATTGAATTCATCATTGGAGCTCTGCATCATACTAATAAGAGTGATTTTATAGTTCTTGAGGAGGTACCACATTTTCTAATGTAAAATTTGGTACCTCTCGGTACATCCGGTACTAGGAGGTACGAAAATTTGCACTAAAAATTTTGGTACCTCTCAAGGACTGTAAAATTTCTCTACTAATAAAGCCACCTATAACTTGTATGATAGAAGCTTTTGAAAGAAAACCCCCGCAGAAACAACAATTACCTAAGTTTCCTCTTCATATAAAATACAGTTCCAAAATTCATATTAGTATTCTAGAGCATCTAGATAGCTTTCTGTTTCCCTTATAGTATTTCTATGTGCTGGTAATTACTTAACACAGTTCTACAATCATTCTCAGGTTGAGGTTACGGATAGTGCTCTTCTTGCTCTTATTGAAAACTATTGCCGGGAAGCCGGTGTGCGTAACCTTCAAAAACAGATTGAAAAAGTTTACCGGAAGGTAAGTGACACTTCTATCAAACAATATTGACATTTGTAGCTAATGTTTAGTGTGGAGAAGAACGGGGGCTATTTGTCTGTCTCAAGTCTCTTGACAGACCTGCAACTCACCAGTAGTTGATACCTTGATAGTATATACAAGTCTATGACTGATAAGCAGGTAGATTCTATTCTTATTTCTTAAGGTATCATCTCCCACTGTAGTCTATTATATTTACTAAGAAGAGCATATCGGTGAGTGTTGAGTGATGTGTCCTGTCCTTCTACAGCATAAGGGCACAAACTGGTCCTTTCTTGCATCCCATTGTTCTCCCCACCCTTCGGTCCACACTCCATATGCCCTGCACTTGCTATTGCCTTCCCTGTGCACACCAGTATTACCTCTGCACTCTGTTCCAATCCTGTCAAGCACCGCTTGCCTGCCATGCTAACCCTCCACAATCACTGCTGCTGTTTTTTACTGAGGCGTTGTTTCTAATGTGGTAGTGTGGCAAGCAATTTATTATATTTTAATATTCTGGAAGACCCCCAAAATGGCAAGAAAATAGCTTTTGGAAGACTCATATTTATCAAATAATGCATTCCATTATCTCGCAGCATTTATTCTACCAATGATCAGAATTGTTCATATGGATCCATTCATCCATGATAGCACTTGTGATCAGCTTTTGCTGTTCAACCTTTGCCTCTGGTGCAGATAGCTCTGCAACTTGTTCGTCAAGGGGTATCAAATGAGCCAGCTCGGGAGATCACATTGGTGGAACCAAGTGAACAACCTACTGGTGTTAGCATTGCAACAGAAGTGGAAAACAAGAGCCAGAGGGACAGTCTTGCAGAAGATGTTTCAGTGCATGTTATTCCAACTGATTTTTCTTGTGAGAAGATTAATGTAGTATCCTTAACAACCAAGTCAGAAGTAGACCACTATGAGCATCCAAAAGGAGTATCTAAAGAAACTTCTGCAGATGACAAAGCTACACCAACGAATACATCAGGCAAAATGGAGGTAATCTAACTATCTTGTATGTCAAATCTCCCCAAGTCTCTATATTAAATGCGTGAGAAGCTATTACAAATGTGCAGTGGCCAGGCTGACCTCTGGCCGCCCATGAATTTTTTGAGTGTTACAACGTTGTGCACTGAATACTGACTGAAGTCAAACTTGCTATCAGACAGGCAAGTGACAGGTTAAATGAAAGTGATGCTTTAAGTCAGAAAAAGAAGGAATTGATCTTTCATGACACTATTACTATTGGTGCGTGGTCAAGTTTTTGTGTTAAAAAAAACACGAATATTAGGGAATGACCTAATATCAAATAATTAGAAGGGGTGAGGCTTCGAACCCAGGTCGGCTAGCCCACCACCTTATGGAGCTAGCCGGAAGACCCCTAGGCATTTCTCATGGTCAAGTTTTTGTGTTAAAATTATGATATAATTCCTGTAAGAAAAGGAAGATTCATAGGCTGATAGCACAATTTCTGCTGGTTTTTATGGTGCTGACTTTTTGTTAGTTTTTGAAAGATGTCAAGTAAACTAAACCCTGGACAAACTTTGTTACCAAGGATATTTCAAGTTTGAAATGAATATATCTTAGTTAGCATAAATTCATAGACTTATGTTTCTTTGTTTCTTAGGGCTTAGTTCTAATAAACTGTTGTTTGCTATTTCTGAAGGCCAATGAACACACAGAGGAAGTAATGGAAGCACTTGTAGATGAAGCACTTGTAGACAAGACTGTGGAGAAAGTAGTTGTTGATGCATCAAATCTGGATAACTTTGTTGGGAAGGCTGTATTCCAACCAGAGCGTATATACGATCAAACTCCTGTTGGGGTAGTCATGGGTTTAGCTTGGAATGCTATGGGTGGTTCTACCTTGTATATTGAGACAGCAAAAGTTGAGGACGGCGAAAAAAAAGGTGCACTTGTGGTGACAGGCCAGCTTGGAGATGTCATGAAAGAGAGTGCTCAAATTGCACATACAATTTGCAGATCTATATTACATGAGAAAGAACCAAATAACACCTTTTTTACAAAGTCAAAGCTTCACTTACATGTTCCTGCAGGGGCTACTCCAAAGGATGGCCCCAGTGCTGGATGCACGATGGTTACATCGATGCTGTCTTTAGCCATGGGAAAGCTGGTAAAGAAAGACCTCGCAATGACTGGGGAAGTAACATTGACTGGACGAATTCTCCCAATTGGTGGGGTATGCTTCAGGCCTTCAGCCATCTTTCTTTGTGGCTTTGCCTGCCTCTTTTTTGTTGGAATTTGCATGCTATTTGTGGATGCCACTGTCTTGCATAACTTTTGGAATGCAGGGTAATGGTGTTAAGTTGTTAGTGAAAGAAATTGTTGATTCCATAGTTTGTCTTCTGTCTCCTATGTTGGCCTTTTGGATGGGACCTAAAACCTGCCTCTGTAGTTTTGGATAATATTGCTGAACCATTGGCATTTGCCGCAGGAGCAGAGTAACACCTAAGTTTACAAGTTAAAAACTGAGGTTTATAGCATGCAATCACAAATTGCCTGAATATTTTAATCAAGGCATTGGTGTACATTTTTCTGAATTTTCTTTGTCATCTGTCATGCGATTATCTTAAATGTTGCCAATATGTTCATATGATTATATGAACACTAAGTAACACGCTAATTCTTTCTATTGTGGATCTTAAACAGGTGAAGGAGAAAACCATCGCTGCCAGGAGAAGTGGGATAAAGACGATCATATTCCCAGCAGCGAACAGAAGAGATTTCGACGAGCTTGCTCCTAATGTAAAAGAAGGTCTTGAAGTCCACTTTGTTGACAAATACAGTGAAATATATGATTTAGCTTTTCCAAGTGATAGTCAGGCATTAGCAAGCTAGTGTATCGACAACGCATGCTCTACAAAGCAGTTTGCATCAAGACCAGGGTGAAGACCAGAATATGGAGTTCATTCGTTGTCGCTTGCAATTCGTTTGGCAAATTATACAGAATCTACAGAAAGAATATCTCACAAGAGCGCACTTCCCAAATATAGCTTGGCAAGTTGTACAGAATCTATAGATTGTTCCTTTTCTCCTTTTCTGTTAGTCAACTACCATGTGTAAATTCAGAAACAGTGAGAATGCATTATTTTAGACATTCTCTGAATTGTGAACAGAACACCCGTGTAGGGTCTGATGCATGTATAAAGCATTCTTTTCAGTATTCTGGAGCTCACAAGTTCAGGCATTCTGTGACATTAACTTGGCCTAAGTTGCATAAATATGACTCCTGAATACAATGTGCCGTTGAGAACGAAAGGTGCTGTAGCATCTGGCATTTCTGTAAGGACCTGCTATGGATTATGCAAAGTCTGAGCTAGCTAAATTTAAGGATAATGTGGTTAAGAAAAACACAATACTTTTTTGGGGGGGTCAATGCCTATAATTGATACTTCCTCCGTTTTATATTATAAGATTTTCTAGCATTGCCCACATTCATATATATGTTAATGAATCTAAACATATATATGCGTCTAAATTCATTAACATCTATGTGAATGTGAGTAATGCTAGAAAGTTTTATAATATGAAACGAAGGGAGCATTTATCAGTTGAGTGGTTTTTGTGTTGTTGACATCTCGCCTGGATACTGCTATTTCTCTACCTGATGGTGTGGCGCTGCTAAGCAAGTCCCAGACAAACTTGACAAACTCAGAAAGGGTTTTCATACTCTTGTCACTCTCGTTACATGGGAACTACGTGTGCAAGGGTGAAGGGTGTGGTTGCGTTTTAAATGGGACAACACCTAGCATCTATCTAGTTCTAGTCCTGCGATCCATCTCTCGTGAAGGCTTCCTTGGGTGCTTGGCTGAGGCAAAAGGACTTGCAAACTTACTTCCATCTTGACCTTTTGTACTTTATTTTCCACCACTTGATCAAATAACACACAACTCTCTTGCGTAGTTAAAAAAAAAACTACTACCTCTCTCACATAATAATTGTATTTTTAGGATTTGAATTTGTCCTAAAATAATTATCACAATAGAGTACTAATGGTCCCATTAATCACTTCTTATTTAAATTTCTCCGTATTTTATCCTCAACTACTCTTCCACTCTCACCTATACACCATTTAATAAGGGACATCATAGTATTTTTTTTCTTAAACCTTAATATATGTTAAACAACCTATAAATACAATTTATATGGGACGGAGCCATGGAGGTAGTACGAAAATCATATTGTATTTGGTCACCTACTAGCTGGTATCCACTTTCTTCAGCGAAAGGTAGCCTTGGTTTGTTCTTTGCTATATTGTTCTAGCTTATTTCAGAGACTTGTTAATCACTCAATTCACCCCTCCATGTTTACTGGGTTTTATGATTTATCAGTTATTCTATCTTACAATAAAATTGTTGTCCACTAACTTCTAAAGCTCAATATGTAAGTGTGTTATATCATCATTCACTAGTAATTATTATCTTGAGTATTTTAAATCACATACAAGTGTGCCACATCATCACCCATTAGCAATTATTGTCTTGAGTATTTTAAATATCATGCAAACATGACACATAATTTACATTTTTGTTGTATTTTTAGAACTCAATATGCAAACGATGTCAAATCATTATCTCCACATCATTTTTGCATTATTTAAACATATACATTTACTATTTATATTATGTATAACATGCATTCATCCACGTATCGCACAACACATCGTAGGGTATCAATTAGTTATACCAATAAATACTTCCTTTTGTCACAAGTACTTCTTGTTTTCAACAAGTCTCCAGTCAAACTTTCTTATTTTATTATTATTTATTACATATCATGGCAATATCTAAAATGACATTAGTAATGTGCCTTTAGTCCATTTTGCATGTATAGCAATCCATCATTTGGATTTACCCAAATTTAGTGCTTAACATTTGTCTTGAATCTTTTTAAGGCATGTATTTGTACCGGTTACTTAATCATACAACAATATAAATCTACAGTATATCACTAATAAATACTTAGGAATGGGAAAAAATGCAGGAATCGAATGTCATGACACGAGCAATCTTATAGGAATTGAAAAATAAATGAATTAATCAAACATGTTGTTTGGATACACCATAGGAAACTTGCATGATTTTTTAGAGGAGAAATATTATCAGATTAGAGTTGAGAGAATAGATGAAGAGAAAAGGTGCCTTGACTTCCCAAAGGAAATCAAAACATGTGGTTTGAGCTCATGTTTGAAATACTTCAAAAGGTGGAGGAAAGGAATGGTGCCATAGGAAAATTTGCTAGTCCAATCCTACAATCCAAAGGAGCATGCAGGAATAGTTCATATGGGATTTTAGTCCTTTGAAAATCCTACAAAATCCCATCTTCCAAAGGAACCTGGAATAGTAGCACCATGGGATTCTTTTTTTTTTACAACTAACCAACAAGGCATATGACTATTTTTTATTATTATGGTCACCATATTACCGCAAGCACACTTCCCAAAATCTTAAACGGTGTGGTTTTTGCAAACACTTTCTCTCAACATTTATTAGAAAAATCCTTTTAAATCAACCTATCATCTTTCTAATATTTAATACATTCATTTCGACCATCGAATAATCACCATGAACTCAGTTTCATCTATTATCCATCAACACTTTCAAACATGCCCATAACATGTTTAAAAAAGCTCGCATTTTTTTAAATGCAACAATTATTCTCGTCAAAATTATATTTTGTAAAATATTATTCAATATATTTATAAAGTCTTAAAAACACTATACCACATGAACTACTAATATGCATACTCCTAAGGATTACATGCCATCACACTATTTTCTAAGTTGACACACTAATCTACACAAATAAATACTATGTTCCTATAATCAATTACATTTAATAGCTATCGTTATTTCTACGCAACACCTCGTAAGGATTAAAAGACCATATTTATACCTTAAACTTTATTCCATTTATGTAAAAATACCGAAATCAATTCGGTCCATGTTAGTCCCACATACCATCATATTCTTTTTTCTCATTCGGCCCATTATTATTTTTTCTCATTCGGCCCATTATTATGTAAGCATGTAAATTATGACATACATGGTATGTACTTATTATTGATTTTATATCAGTTTACTTCATATTTACTCCGTCCCAATATATAGCTTGGACCATATTTGACATAGTCCTGTGCCGTACTAAAACAAGCCATTAGAAAACCTGAAATTTTCTCGAAAGGGTCCAAATGTAAAAATTTCAGTAATAAAAGCACCGCATCTATTAGCCTTCGATGTTGCGGTGGGGCTTGATCGGACGGTGGAGAGGGCCGCATCCGGCGTAACACAAAACACTGTAGTCCGAGCGCAGAGAGGGGATCCCCTTCCGCACCGCACCCCCTCCCCCCTTCTCTCCCATCTCCCTCGTCCCTCTCTCTCCTCTCCTCCCCTTGGCCCAACCCCCCGCGCGAGCCCGTCGCCGCCGAGCCCACCTCCCTTCGCCACCGCCCGAGGAGGAAGCGCGCGCGCGGGCACCGACGCCGCGGCGACCTCGGAGGCGGCGGGGGACCCCGCCCTCCTCGTCTCCGCTGGGCCGGCGTGTGGGGGGGAGAGGACGGACGGGCGATGCATCCGGGCTGATTCCTCCTCTGGCGCTGGTACGGATGCCCTAACGTAGCTTGCCTGGATTGCTGTTGCTGGTGTGGTTTTCGCTGCGGGAGATCGTGTCCTTCCTTCTCGAGGTGCCCTAATCCGCCCAGTTAGTCGCGGATTTGATTAGGTTCGTTGTAATGTCGGCTTATTTTGATTTTGTTCCCCCACAAGGGCTCTCTGTTGCTCGTTTGTGTGCGGAGGATGTGGTGATGCCGGTTGTGGCGGTCGTCGGAAACGTTCTAGAACCCCGATTTGCAGAGAATTGCGACGAATTTGGCGGGTACTACGGCTAGGGTTGAGGACTTTGTGTGTGTGTGTGTGTGTATAGGGGGGGGGGGTGTTCGCTGTCATAGTTTTGGATATGACCTTGGTGGGTTCGTAGTCGTTGGGGCTTTGGTGGATGATATACATGATTGCCTGGTTTGAATGTTGTATCTGCTTGGTTTTCTGATGCTCTGGAACTTAGGGTTTTAGTGATGAGAGAACTAATAGTGTGTATGGCTTGATGAGGAACTAGAGGATGATTGTGCCATCAGATCTAACTCCACACTTCGTGGAATAGATAGATTTTGATCCATCACCAACGCAAGGCTAATCGAAAAAGGAAAAGAGCGTCAGGGTCCCCAACTAAACATTATAATTGGGTTATACCATGATCCCTCAAAGCTAAAACCCTTATTGGATCTGTTGAGTGGCTGCATCTGAACCTATTGCTAGTAACTAAGTTCAATCATATTACTTCACTAGAAAAGTTAATTCAGCTGTATCGGTCTAAAACATGTTATTGGTGTAATATTTAGAAGTCTTATTTCTCCATGTTTCATGTCCTTCAATATATTCTTACATTTTCATTACCTCTTTATTTGTTAAGCTCCTTTCTGACATGTGGATTTTCATAATTGTTCAGTAATTAAAGCTTGTATATGCTTATTTGTTATTATTTCCCACTTCAGTTGGTGCTGTATACATGGCTCTTAGAAAACACCAACCTTCTGGTAATGCGGCCTCCATTAGTATGGTGCCCCTGGATTTTCCAAGTCAGGAACTTGAGAAGGTTAATTCTGTCAATCCAGTGGTAGCAACAGATGTTCCACCTGAGGCTGATGTTGATGTTGATATGAGGGAAGTTTACTTTCTCATCATGCATTTTTTATCACATGGTCCATTTAAGCGGACTGTTGGAGAACTCTGCAATGAGCTCCTTGAACATCAGCTGCTACCTAGAAGATATCATGCTTGGTATTCACGAGGTGGTTTTCATAGCGGTGAAGAAAATGATGATGGCATATCACTCCCTTTGGGATACCTAAAGTTAGTTGAGAGGTAACTATTTATCCGTTCATTCCAATGTTGGTTCTGAAAGATCATCAGGATGTTGAGGTCTGGAATTCAAAGTGAAAATTTCCAGACCAGTTTTGTGCTATTATATTAATTATTGTTAATTAAGGATTTTTATGACGCAAGAAACTAGAGGTTCATTCTGCTCGGAGCACATAAAAATAATATTATGCCTGTAGTGAACTGGAGATGCTTCTCAGTTTCTTAGAGTAAAATTGGGAAACAATTGAAAAAT